CCTGACTTTAGACCCCAAATTTGTACATCAGCTCTAATGTTTGTAAAGCCCAGGCCTGCTGGGTGGAGTCACACGGCCAGGCGACCCCTGACCTGTCAGAAATGAGCAGCTGTGATTCAGTTTGGATAGTTGAAATTTTTGAATGTGGACCTGATGTCACTGGATCTGCCAAGTTTTTAGATTGACTTGGAAACTTAAGAAGCTTTGTCAGTTTTAGGAGTTGGTAACTTTTTTCTGAATGCCTTGGAGGCTAGCATCAGCTCTAATAGAGCTCAGTCCGTGCCTGGCTCTCTCTGTGGCAGCAAATGTGTATTATCTGAACATTCTCAACGAGCCTACTAGCCACATTTTTTTTTCCAGGTAGGAAATTGAGGGAGGCACTTGCTCAAAGATTACACAGCTGGCCAAGGTAGCACATAACTGTAATCCTACTCACTGAAGCAGGAAGATAGTGAATTTGAGGCAAGTCTATGTGGGCATTACAGATTGTAGAGCTAAGAATGGATCCAAGCAGCCCAGAGAGGTTTTGTTTTGGGCTTTTGTAACTTTTTTTTTTCTTTTTGAGATTTTGAAACAGGGTTTCTCTGTGTAGCCCTGGCTATCCTAAAACTCATGCTGTAGACCAGACTGGCCTCTGACTCTCTGCCTTTGCTTCCTGAGAGCTGGGATTAAAGGCCTGTGCCACCGCTGCCCGGCTGATTTATTTATTTATTTAATATAGATAGGGTCTCTGAGTAGCCCCAGGTGCGCCTCTTTAGCTCTGAGTTTAAAGGCACTTTTGGGTTCTTTGGAAACAAAGTTTCAATATGTAGCATAGACTGCTCAAGCCTGAGATCTGCCTGTTTTAGCTTCCCACATGGTGAGCTAATAAATGTGTCACCACACCAGCCTGAGTCCGCTTTCTTTGTTCATTCATTCATTCATTCATTCATTCACTTTTTGTGGGTTGGGGACAGAACCTAGAGTCTTGTGAGTGCTAAGCAAGGCCCTACCACTGAAATGCATCCCCAGCCTCTGAGTCTATGCTTTGTTGTTGAAGATTTTTTCATGTGTATGGCTGTTTTGTCTGCCTGCACCATGTGCTTGCGTGATGTCATGGATCCTCTGGAACTGGAGTTACAGTTGTGAGCTGCTATGTGGGTGCTGGGGATTGAACCCAGGTCCCCTAGAGGAGCAACCAGTGCTCGTAACCGGAGCCATTTCTCCTACCTGAATCTGTGCTTTTTTAACCCGTATGTTATAACCAGGTAAAAACTCAGAAAAATGTTAGCTTGATGGTGAGGTGGAGAGCTCAAAGTACAGGACACAGCAGAGCCTTTTAGTTAGGGCTGTGAGTAACTGAAAGGCATGGTAGCTTATTCCAGCACTTGGGAAAGCTGAGGCAGGAGAATCAGTTTCAGCTTGACTTGGGCTGCCTAGCAAATTTCTTTTTTTTTAAATTTATTTTACATATATAGTGTTCTGGGCACCAGATCTCATTATAAAATGGGTGTGAGCCACCATGTGGTTGCTGGGAATTGAACTCAGGACCTCTGGAACAGCAGTCAGTTCTCTTAACCTCTGAGCCATCTCTCCAGCCCTGCCTAGCAAATTTCAAACAGGTGGGCGGAGGTGGCACATGCCTTTAATCCTAGCACTTGGAAGGCAGAAGCAGGTGGATCTCTGAGTTTGAGCCCAGCCTCCTGCTGTACAGAGTGAGTTCCAGAACAGCCAAGGATACACAGAGATACTCTGTCTCGAAAAAAACAAAATACGAAACGAAACAAAACCAAAAACCCGCATAGGCACACACACACAACCAGTAAGACCCTACTCAAAGAAAGGCGGTGGGGTGGGCAGGGGCAGCTGAGTATCTTCTAGGCACTGTTCTAAGTTTGCTCAACAGGCAAAAGGGAACGCCTGACAAGGCTGTCACAGGGACTCATGTCTCCCTCTTGTGCCCACAGGTGGCCATGGTGGAGGTGCAGCTGGAGAGTGACCATGAATACCCCCCAGGCCTGCTGCTGGCCTTCAGTGCCTGCACCACCGTGCTGGTAGCCGTGCATCTCTTTGCACTCATGGTCTCCACGTGCCTGCTGCCCCACATCGAAGCCGTGAGCAACATCCACAATCTCAACTCTGTCCATCAGTCACCGCACCAGCGACTCCACCGATATGTGGAGCTGGCCTGGGGCTTCTCCACTGCCCTGGGCACCTTTCTCTTCCTAGCTGAAGTTGTTCTGGTGGGCTGGGTCAAGTTTGTGCCCATTGGGGCACCCATGAACAAACCAGCTCCTGTGGTACCTATGTCCCAGGTGCCACCGGTGACCCTTACTTTACCTCCCAACCTCACTCCGTCCTCTGCTTCTGTAGCCACACCACAGCAGCCTTACAAAGCCTGTCCACCCCGACAAGTGTGTGGTGGTGCCCATGGGCCAGGTTGGCAGGCAGCTATGGCCTCCACAGCAATCATGGTACCTGTGGGACTTGTGTTTATGGCCTTTGCCCTGCATTTCTACCGATCCTTGGTGGCCCACAAGACAGACCGTCACAAGCAGGAGTTGGAGGAACTCAGTCGCCTGCAGGGGGAGCTGCAGGCTGTGTGAGCCTGGCTTAGACTCCTGGAAACATTAATGCCCCGTATTTGCAAGGGATCCCAGGGATCTACAGACCTCATTCGTTGCCCCAGACTTGAGCCACGTACTGTAAACTACACTCAGGTAGAGGCCAAATTCCTGCACAGCGTCCCACACTCCCAGGGATATCCCGTTATCACAGTCCAGTGGATTTTGTAAGCTGCACCTTGCCTGGCTGGAGAAAGGAGAGAGGAAGTAGAATGGTCTCAGTACAGGAGGCCCTAGCGGGGTCTTCAGTGGTGCTGAGCATTTGCTTGCTCCTCCGCAGGAAGGTAACATGCCTGCACACCTGTCCTCCAAGGCAGTCAACCCTTGCTTATGTGTAATCTATTGTAATCTATTTCACAGTTGACATCCTGGGAGGGGTTTTTGCCGGTCATGGTTTTGATGGGTTCCCCTTTCCCGACTGGGCTGCTGTAGGTGACCTGGGTGTCTGTCCCTAGGATGAGCCACTTCCCACTTGGTGACTTGTGGTGGTGCCTGTCCCACTGCCCTAGACTCATCTGTTCCCACCCTCTTTGGCCAGAGCTGGGGGAGGAGGAACCTTTGAAGACTGACTGCTGCCAGCTCGACTCCTTGGCAAGGGTCGGGGTTTGTAAGGCAGACAGTTCAGCCCTTAGAACGCAGAGCGCTCCAGATGCTGCATTTCCGATGCACCTTTTGTTAATAAACTGTTTCACGTGTTTCTGTGGCTGTGAATGGGTGGAGGGGAAACCTCGGGTAAGGCTGCGTGTCCTAAGGGCCAGGTGCAGGTCCATCAGGGGCGGACAGTCACCCAGAGACCAAGCCTCTAACTGGTTCCTACACTTGGGATTTCATCTGAGTTTCTCCAGTCATCACCTAATCCTGTGGGCCTAGACATAAATTATCTGGTTTAGCCCTCACAGCCATCTCAATAAACACGTCTGTCTTTCCCATTTCAGAGAGGCAGCGAAGGCCAGTCACATAGTCTGTGCCTTGATTACCATTATATAGGGATTGCTAAATGAGAGAGAAGGAAAAAAAAAAGAGAGAGAGAGAGAAAAAGGACTTGGTATCCTTCAACTGGGTCAAAAAAAAAAAAAAAGAAACATCATCTCCTGTGCCTTCATGTAAAGATTTCCTTTGCCAGGCGGTGGTGGTGCACGCCTTTATCCCAGCACTTGGGAGGCAGAGACAGGTGGATAGCTTGTGAATTCAAGGCTAGCCTGATCTACAAAAGCTAGTTCCAGGACAGCCAAGGCTATTAAAGAGAAATCCTGTCTCAAAAAACAAAAAAAAAATCCCCCCCGCCGCAGCCCAATAATTTTAGAGCACAATTCCTGTCAGACTTCCGGTGAGAGACCTTGGACAGTCTTTATTATTTGGTTAATTAAAATGTGTAAAACTAGACTCCAATAGTTTTCCTACACTGTCGTGAGGATTGCAGTCTTATGACCAATAGACATCCATTCTTGGATAACTTGACACTAAGGGAGGTCAATTTAATGAGGGACTGCTTGTAGAGAGGCCACTTAGGGCATCCTCAGCTCCAGGTAGACCCGGTGGGAATGCCAGGGTGTTCAACTTTGGGGCAATCTCAGCTCCAGGCTCCCAAGTGAAGCCCTAGTTGGGCTTCTGAAGTGCCTATGGCTAACTGGGCTATAGGACTTTACTTTTTCTTTTCTTTTGGTTTTTCGAGACAGGGTTTCTCTGTAGCTTTGGAGCCTGTCCTGGAACTAGCTCTTACAGACCAGGCTGGCCCCGAACTCACAGAGATCTGCCTGCCTCAAGACTTTTACTTTCATAGGACGCACTTAAGGGTCTTTAGGCCTCTCTTAAACTTATCAGAGTGAACCCTAACACAGTTTTAGATTTAGTTACACTTCCCTTCGGCCTGTTCGTCCCCGTTTGTCAAACGGACATTTTAAAACGGGCCCAAGGGAGGTGTAACTAGGGTGCTGGCCTAGCATGCAAGAAGCCCTAGGTGAGCTCTCCAGCATCCTATAAACCGGTTATGGTGGCGCACACCTGTAATCCCAGCCCTCAGGAGATAGAGGCAAAAAGATCAGGAGTTCGGGGCCATCCTCCGGTGCACAGCAGTTTCGGTGTTACTATGTCCGAAATATAACAGGGGCCCGAGCAGAAGAGCGGCAAGAAACCGATCACCTCATGTGCGCGGGCAGGGAAAGTGCCTGAGTCACCGCTCCTGGTTGTATTTTTCCACCTCCCATCCCGCCCAGGTTTTGGTGGATTCTACGGGAAGTAGCCCGTTACGCCGGGCTCCGCACGCCTGGCCACGCCTCTCTGCGCGGCGAGCTAGCCCCACCCACAACGGGATCCGCAGATTCGCTACCCGACACATTAGGATTATTTGGGCACCTTCCCTGGTCTGAAATTTTTCAGGAAGCTCCGAGAAGACTTCCCCCCTGTAACCATTTCGCCCTAAGTCGGAAGTGGGCTGCTACTTGAGTTGGGCTAGGAAGAAAGAGGCAGGAATAGCTGTCGACACTGCCAACGGGGCTTGGCTAACCGGGCGTCATTTTCTCGACTCCAGCGCAGGTGAGAGGAGGTGACGGCCAAAGCCCAGAACGGTGGCGAATCTGCACTGCAGCCTCGTAGGCATTCGAGCTGCGCAAGGAAGGGGCAGGGAAGAGCAGCAAAGGAGCGCGCATCCTGTTCACTCATTTGCCCCGCCCGCCTCGCGAATCTGCGTCGTTCGACGCACCACTCAAATCTGCCGAGCTCCGGCTGGCCGCCTCCCCCTCGCTCCGCCCCTCTTTCCTCAGGGGCTCGTCGCAGCTTTCGTCGCCGCCGATTCGTCACGAACCCCAAGGCCGGGGCAGCTGGATGAGGGTGGTACAGTCCACTCTCCGGGGGATGCGGCCGATCTTCAGGCTTCCTGGGCTACGACTCCCAAGCCTTACAGGGCCCCGGCCGAGGCAGAGCCGCTCCGCTCGGCCCCGTGGATCGCTCCGCAGTCCTTGTAGCGAAAGTGCGAATGCAGACGCCGCGCCCGCTGGGCCTCGTGCAGGTGGCGGTGGTGTTTGGTGCGCGCGCCGGGGAGGTGGTGGTGGGGGGGCGCCGCCGCCGCCACCGCTGCGGGGCCGGGTCTCGCGCTGCCGCCGCCGCCGCCGCCGCCTCACGCCGCTGAGGTGCTGCGCGCGGTGGGGGGAGGGTGAGCCGCTCGCCACGAGCGGGTGAGTAGGGCCTTGACGCGCGTGCGCGGAGACGGGGTGGGGGGGCACCGAACGCGCCCGGGCGGGAGGAGAGGGCAGCGGCGCGCGTTACCCGACCCCCCCCCCCCCCCCGCCTGGATTCAGGGACCGAAGCCGGGGCTCAGACTCGGTCTCGCGGTGTTTCCAACGCCCCGGAGAGGTGCCACCTCTGGTCCAGAGGACTGGGGCGCGGGGACGCGAGCGGCCGTGTGGGAGCGGGAGCGGGGCTCGGCCCGGGCCGCTGGCCGGTGAGGAGGCGGGAGGGGGCGGGGCCTGCCAGGAGACGGGGGAGGGGTCTTGCGTGGAGGCCAAGTGGGGCGCGCTAGGGAGAGCGGGAAGGTCTGGGGGCGCGAGCTGGGCCTGGGCCCTGAGGGTAGACTTGGGGGGTGGAGGGGGAACGGAGTGTTAGAGTGAACCCGGTCCTCAGGGCCCGATCTGAGGGAGCCGTGGGTCATGCCGAGGTGTGGGAACTGGACTGATGGGGGGGACCTGGAATCCGGGCTAGCCATGGAGGGGGACAGCAAGGGAGTCAGGCCGGAGGCTTGGACCCCCATTGCGTATCCGTCTTTTCCTGACAGTGTAAATGAGCGAGGATGGACCAGGAAGGTGGGGGAGATGGGCAGAAAGCCCCGAGCTTCCAGTGGCGGAACTACAAGCTCATCGTGGATCCGGCTTTGGACCCTGCCTTGCGCAGGCCTTCCCAGAAGGTGTACCGCTACGATGGAGTCCACTTCAGTGTCAGCGTGAGTGCCTCATGGCTTCCGGACTTCCCTGGACCTCGGGGCTGCCCTCCTCCTCCCTCCACCCTTCCCGGTGTTCAGCACCTAGACCTCCGGGACCTGTAGCTTGTCCTTTGAGAAGGAGCAGGTTATGGCAGCTCTTCTGTATGTGCGTCTCCACTGGCTTCCCGGAGTGGACAGCCTGCTAAGTTTTTGTCCTGGTCACATCGCTCTCTTTTCTGTGCTAGGACTCGAAGTACACACCAGTGGAAGACCTCCAAGATCCCCGCTGCCATGTCAGGTCCAAGAACAGAGACTTCTCCCTCCCAGTCCCTAAGTTTAAGGTACGTGTCTGCTGCTCTCTCAGCATGCTGGTTCTTGGAGCGCGGCAAGGGTCCTAGCACCTTGCTCTTCGCATAGCCTCCCTGAGTGGCTGGCCCAGTGCAACACTGGCAACCACATTTCCTTGCTTTTGAGTTTGTGAGACTAAGATGTCTGAGACAGGAGGTGTACTTAAATAGCTGAGGTGTCTCTAGTATGTCGCTGGTGACAAGGGTGTTGATGTCTGGAGGCATGAGGTATGGGTGGATGTTCAGAGACATCGTGACTGGGATACCCTAGTTCTTCAGCAGTTAAGGGTACCGCTAAGGCCACTGCCTGCTTGGTGTCCTCTGTCTCTCACTGTCGTTTGGGTATGTCCTCCCCCAGCTGGTCTGTAAGAGTGGCTCCCTTTCCCATGGTAGATACTCTGCAAGCTTTGCACTGAGCCTAGAAACGCTGGTGGATCTTTGTTTCCTTCCAATTTTGTTTCTTTGTTTTGTTTTATTTCCCACTGAGTTTTAAAGTAATTTATGGGGTGTTTCCCCCCTCTTTCCTTTTCCCTGAGCAATCTTATTTAAGCTCTATTGGCCTGAATGTTTACTTCCCATACCTACTTCCAGCCTCATAAACCCAGACTCCAGAGACTTGAACACATTATCTTTATTCTCTCAGTTCTTTTCATTCTTCCTCTGCTGATAAATTACAACATCAGATACCCGGGCTCACAACCTAGAAGCCTAGGAGTCACCTGGTAGTTCTTTCCTGATCATCTTAATCTTTCTCTTCATGCGGAGTCTTACATTTATTGCACTTGCTGTCTGTGGCTTCCTCCTCAGTTTTAGGCTTTTTTGCTGTTATTTGTCTCAGGTTCTGTTCTTATTTTACAAGTATGTATTTTCCCTTTTCTTTCTTTTTTTTTTTAATTTTTTTATTTTTCTTTTCAAGACAGGGTTTCTCTGTGTAGCCTTGACTGTCCTGGAACTCACATGTGTTCACACTCAAGCTTGCACACACCATTGTGCACATGTCGAAATTAGAGCACAGCTTGTAGAAACTGATTTTTCACCATGGGGTCCAAGGATCAAACTCAAGCTTGTCAGGCTTGGTGACAAGTGCCTATATCCACTGAGCCATCTTGCTGACATGCTAGGTCTGTTTTGGAGCGTTGGCATGTGTGGTTATTGATCTGGGCAGGCCTAATCACTTACTTGACTCTATACCCTTGTTATATCCAAACCAGACCAGACCCTCTTCAGTGTTTAGAAAACATCAAGATGGGTTCTGTTGTTTTGGTAAACTTTGAGTTTTCTACAAAGCCCCGTGAGAATGATAGGAAACATCTTTGTGAATCTTTTCCTGACTTTTCTCTGTGTGAATGATCCTTTTCTTGGCTCCCAGGCACCCTGTCTACACCTCTGCTACCACTGCATCATCTTCAGATTTTATATATATATATATGACTTATCTTTTTCTCTTTTTTGAGGCATGGTCTCCCTGGGTAACTCAGACTGGCCTTGAACTGAGGATCCTTGTGCATTAGCCTCCAGGTGTTAGTATTAGAGAAGTGCACACTACACTCAGAACTGTCTTGTCTCTTCTGAATGGGAAAAAATTTTTCTACCTTTGTGTTTCTACTATCTAACCTGTGATCATCAGACCTGAGCTAATAGATTATTTATTTCTTCCTACTGCTTTCTCTTGTGTGTGTTGATTCTTATATTTTATGTGTCTTTTTTTCCTTATTGTTGTCATAAGCAGAAGTCAAAGAGAGAGGTCTGTACTACAGTAGGGTTCATGATCCCCACTTCACTTGCCTATCACAAAGTCTCCCAGTCCTGTCTTGATCGCATGAGTCTGAAGTTTCCCAAATGGTAAGGGAACTACGCTCATTATGGAAACCCCAGACTAACTCCTCTTTCCACAGCTGGATGAATTCTATATCGGACAGATCCCACTGAAGGAAGTAACTTTTGCAAGGCTCAATGACAATGTGCGGGAAACCTTCCTGAAGGATATGTGCCGGAAGTATGGTGAGGTAGAAGAAGTGGAGATCCTTCTTCATCCCCGCACTCGCAAGCACCTGGGCCTGGCCCGTGTGCTCTTCACCAGCACTCGGGGTGCCAAGGAGACTGTCAAAAACCTCCACCTCACCTCTGTCATGGGCAATATCATCCATGCCCAGCTTGATATCAAAGGTGAGGCTCCCTTGTCTCTTGCTTGCTCTCTGGCAGAGATTATATCTGTAAATGCCCTATTGGGCTCAGCCAAGGTAATCAGGGTCATGATTCTTTACCCAAATTCTTGAGGCCAGGCCAGGTGTGTTTCTGAACTTAAAATTTTTAAATTTTAGAGAAAAATTAAGGTACATGCAAGGTATTTTATGTTATTGATAGCATGGTAATGGCAGTACCCCACTGTCAATCATACTTTTCTGCTTCTAAGAAATTGTACTTAGGGTAAGACTTGAACTATATGTAGTAAGTTTAATACTGGGTTCTCCAAAGTACTAAGATTTCAGGAGGGTTCTATTATTTATGTTTTTGTGTATGACTGTTTTTTCTACATGTATATCTATGTACAGCATGTATGCCTGATGCCCATGGATGAACTGGAGTTTTGTTGGTTGTGAGCCATCACGTGGGTGCTGAGAACTGAACTCAGTCCTGGAAGAGCAGCCAGTACACTTAACTGCTGAGTCATCTCTCCGGCTCAGTGAGGGTTTTTCTTTTTTTGTTTTGAAATTATAGATATTTTATGCTTGCTTTAGTAGCACATATAGTATGATTGAAATTTTAGATAACTGAGGAACTGGAGTCTTGGATCAGTAGTGGTGGACATACCTAGCATACTCGTGGCTTGCCAAAAAAAAAAAAAAAACATATCTATGAGGATAAAGATAAAGAAAGCAGAGTTTCATGGTGCCATGTGCTGATAATCCTAGTGTTTGGAGACAGAGATGGGAAGACTGAGGTTAGCCTGTCTGCAAAGATGATTCCAGGCCAAATGGGGCTACATAATGAGATCCTGTCTCAAAAAAACAGAGAGGAGGTGGGAGAGAACTTAGTGGATAAAAGTACTTACTGTGTAATGATAAAGTCTTGAATTTTAATCTCCGTCACTCATGAAGTCCAGGTATATTTGTATTTGCCTGTAGCTTCAGTATTGGTGGGTAGAGACAAGCAGATCCCAGAAACTCGCTGACCAACTGGCCTAAGAAATGGCAAGCTTCAGTTTAAGCATGACCCTGTCTTGAGGGAGCGAGGGAATGCAATAATTGGAGATATCCATTTCTTCCTTTGGCCTCCATGTGTATGCACTTGGATAGCCACAAGTTCATCACACACAAATAAGCAAAAGTAAAAAAAGATGGGGCTATTTTGAACCGCTTTCAAGGAATTGCAGGGAGAGATGAGACCCATGGCAGACTAGTTACAGGGGCCATCTAAGGGAAGCAGCTGTTAGTCGGTGTTTACAGGTGAGGGGACGACTCATGTCCTTCTGACTTTAGATTGCTGTACGTAATTGCACAGCTTTTATGTTTGTTTGTTTTTTGTGTTTTTGAGATAGAATCTCACTATGTAACTTTGTCTGGCCTTGAACTCACAGAGATCTTCCTGCCTCTGCTGCCTGAGTGCTGAGATTAAAGAGCATATGATAGTTTCTGTGACTTTTTTGTTTGTTTTATAGGTTTCACTCTATAGCTTAGGCTGTCCTTGAATTCTACACTTGACCTCATAGGTGTTATTTTTGATTTGTTTTTTTTGTTTTGTTTTGCCTCTTAAGATTTATTTTTTTATTTATTTAATTTTTTTGTTTTTTTGATACAGGGTTTATCTGTGTTACAGTTCTAGCTGTCCTGGAACTAGCTCTTGTAGATCAGCTGGCCTTGAACTCACGGAGATCCACCTGTCTCTGCCTCCCAAGTGCTGGGATTAAAGGCATGTGCCACCACTGCCTTGCCTTAAGATTTATTTTTGTACGTGCGTGCGTGCGTGCATGCGTATTCACCTACAGAGGGCAGAAAAGGATGCTGGATCCTCTGTAATTGGAGTCATAGGAACCTAACCTAGGTCCTCTGCAAGAACACAAGATGCTCTTTACCACTGAACCTCTCCAGGCCCTTGTTTTTGTTGTGAAGCCTGGGCTTGTAATTTCTTTTATAGCCAAGAATGACCTTGACTTCTACTTCTCCTTCATCCTGGATCATAGGCTTGTGCCACTATCCTTGACTTGTCTGGTGCTGGGGATGAAATTCAGGGTTTTGTGCATACTGTGAAGATGCTCTACATTCCAGTTTCCTGTATTAGTCAGCCTTGCTGTCTGTCTCTGACTGACCTGTACACTGTACAGCTCATGTTGAGCTGGATGGGTCCTTGGCCTCACTTAGTCTCCCAAGTATGAGGATTGCAGGCATGTACCACTATACTGGCACTTCTTTGTTTTTATTCATTAATGATTTATCTCTCTATTTATTTTTGGTTTTTTGAGACAGAATTTCTCTGTAGCTTTGAACCCTTTCCTGGATCTCACTCTGTAGACCAGGCTGGCCTTGAACTCAGAGAGTTCCGCCTGCTTCTGCCTCTCGAGTCCTGGGATGAAAAGGCATGCATCACCACCTCCTGGCTGGATTGACCTTTGCAGCTGCAATTCTGCGGTCTTTAGTTTATAACATAAAGGGGTAATGGGCTTAGCAGCAGATAGACCTCTACTTTGCAGAGTACTTTCCTTAAACTTTATAAAATACTCTAATTGAGATATGTGGATAAACTATGAGTTTACGAAACAGGGTGTTTGGATTGAGCCCAGGGCCTCTCTCATGCCAAGCCAAGCACTGTGGCCTACCCATATTAATTTTTTTTTTCTAATAGTTAGGAGATAAAGACGAGCCAGGCTTTGTTCTATGAATCTGTAAAAGAGTAGTATGTGGTAGCACATACCTGGTAATCCCTAACCTGGAAAGTAGAGCAGTAGTATCAGGAATTCAAGACCATTGTTTTCTGTATAGCAAGTTTGGCCAACCTGGCTATATGAGATCTTGTCTCAAAAAAATACAAAGACAAGATCTAGTCAAAGCAACCATAGGCAGGTAGAAATGAGGTAGACATTCCCAAGGATTGAGTTAAGTATGGGATTGATGTTCTAAAACATACAATTTAGGAAAATTATAGGAAATTCGAAGCCTTGAGGAAGAAAAAAGACTGCCGAATCAGGGAGGATGTTTTTCCTTCTGTTGATTTCCATTTCTCTCCATCTAGGACAACAACGAATGAAGTACTATGAATTGATTGTCAATGGCTCCTACACTCCTCAGACTGTGCCCACTGGAGGCAAGGCCCTGAGTGAAAAGTTCCAGAGCTCTGGTGCAGCCACTGAGACGGTGAGAAGCTTGTGGCTGCTGTGGTATTAGGCACATGGACACATTGCCTAGTCACCAGGAGCAGGAGCCATCTGGGAAAGCCCTAAACTTCACTGTTAAGTATAGGAAGGCAAAGGAATGATGCCTAGATGCTTTCAGAAACAAAAAACTGGGATTCTTGGATTGGGGCAGGACACATTTTTAAATTATTCCTGATCTTTTTTTATTTCTCCTTGCCTCATTTTCTCTCCAGACTGAAGCCCGCCGACGATCTTCCTCAGACACGGCAGCCTACCCAGCAGGCACTGCTGTGGGGGGCACCCCTGGCAATGGCACTCCCTGCTCCCAAGATACAAATTTCTCCAGCAGTCGACAAGATACCCCATCTTCCTTTGGCCAGTTCACCCCTCAGTCCTCCCAAGGAACACCCTACACACCTCGGGGTAGCACCCCTTACTCTCAGGACTCTGCCTACTCCAGCAGGTATGGAAGGCACACCTGTTTTCGCCTGAGCCATTTAATTCTGGGAGCTATAGCTGTGAAGAATGAGCCCTAGGTCTCTGAGAAGGAGTCAGAAACTATTTTAGTCTTTAGTTTCAACTAACAAATTGCTGTTTTCAGGGATACTAGTTTGGGACCTGATCATAGAAGCAAATGTTGGGGAGTTTTGATTTGTCTGTTTTTATGTGTGTTTGTATGTGTCTCTGCATGTGTGTATGTTTATTGCATGCAAGCAGGCTAAAAGGAGACAGATACTTTGGAGCTGAAGTTATAGATGGTTGTCCACTATCATCTGGGTGTTGAGACTTGAACTTGAAACTTCTGCAAGAGCAGTCTGTGCTCTTAACCTCTAAACTTCGTTCTATAGCTCATTTTTAGATTTATGTGTCTGAGTGTTTTGTCTGCATGTATGTGTGTGCATACAGTGTTCTTAGTACTCATGCAGTTGATCACATGGAACTGGAGTGAAAGATGGTTTGAGCCACCAAGTGGGTGCTGGGATCGAACCTCTGTCTAGAGGGGCTTTGGTCACCCAGGGAGGAGCCTAGCTAACTCCCTGACTTCTTCAGCAGCACTTCAACTTCCTTCAAACCCCGGCGGTCAGAGAACAGCTATCAAGATTCTTTTTCTCGCCGCCATTTCTCCACATCTTCAGCCCCTGTAACCACCTCTACTACCACCTCAGCAACTGCTGCAGCCACTGCAGCCTCCTCTTCCACATCTTCATCCTCTTCATCATCGTCCTCCTCCTCATCTTCCTCAGCCTCTCAGTTTCGTGGTTCTGACTCTAGCTACCCAGCATATTATGAAAGCTGGAATCGCTACCAGCGTCACAGTTCCTACCCACCTCGCCGGGCAACTAGAGATGATCCTCCTGGGGCCCCATTTACTGAAAATACACCTGAGCGCTTCCCACCTTCCTATACCTCCTACTTGGCCCCTGATCCCAACCGATCCACTGACCAAGACTACCGGCCCCCTGCCTCAGAGGCCCCACCTCCAGAGCCTCCAGAACCTGGTGGTGGTGGTGGTAGTGGTAGTGGTGGTGGGGCACCCAGCCCTGAGAGAGAAGAAGCCCGGACTTCCCCACGCCCACCTTCACCTGCCCGTTCTGGCTCCCCAGCCCCAGAGACCACCAATGAGAGTGTCCCCTTTGCTCAGCACAGCAGCTTGGACTCCCGCATTGAAATGCTGCTGAAGGAACAGCGCTCCAAATTTTCTTTCCTGGCCTCTGATACAGAGGAAGAAGAAGAGAGCAACAGTGCAGGCCCTGGGGCTAGAGATGCAGGGGGTGAGGTGCCTTCTGGGGCAGGTCATGGGCCCTGCACACCCCCTCCTGCCCCAGCCAACTTTGAAGATGTAGCACCTGCAGGGAGTGGAGAGCCAGGGGCTGCCCGGGAGTCACCAAAGGCCAATGGACAGAATCAGGTGAGCCTGCCGCCAGCCATAGGATTGGGGAAGGAAGCTTAGGTCTTAGGGGAGCGGGAAGGTGCTCAGACAAGGAAACAAATGAGAGGGATGCTCAAGAAGCTCTGGTAGGAGCTGTCTGTGACTTTCCTCCATACCCTACAGGCTTCTCCATGTTCTTCCGGAGAAGATATGGAGATCTCTGATGATGACAGGGGTGGTTCGCCTCCTCCAGCCCCAACGCCTCCCCAGCAACCGCCACCGCCGCCGCCGCCACCACCCCCTCCCCCTCCTCCTCCCTACCTTTCTTCCCTTCCTCTGGGTTATCCTCCCCATCAACCTGCCTACCTCCTGCCACCCCACCCAGATGGACCACCCCCCCCTGAGTACCCTCCGCCGCCTCCACCACCACCACCCCACATCTATGACTTTGTGAACTCCCTGGAACTTATGGATCGACTTGGAGCACAGTGGGGAGGGATGCCCATGTCCTTCCAGATGCAGACCCAGATGTTAACTCGGCTCCACCAGCTGCGGCAGGGCAAGGGATTGACTGCTGCCTCAGCTGGTCCTCCTGGTGGGGCCTTTGGCGAGGCCTTCCTCCCTTTCCCACCCCCACAAGAGGCAGCCTATGGCTTGCCTTATGCTCTGTACACACAAGGGCAAGAAGGTCGTGGGGCATACTCCCGGGAAGCCTACCACCTGCCCTTGCCCATGGCAGCAGAGCCCCTGCCTTCTTCCTCAGTCTCTGGAGAAGAAGCCCGCCTGCCTCACAGGGAAGAAGCAGAGATGGCAGAAAGCAAGGCCTTGCCTTCAGCGGGCACTGTGGGTCGTGTGCTAGCCACCCTTGTCCAAGAGATGAAGAGCATTATGCAGCGAGACCTCAACCGCAAGATGGTGGAGAATGTGGCCTTTGGAGCCTTTGACCAGTGGTGGGAGAGCAAGGAAGAAAAGGCCAAGGTGAGGAGGTCTAGTCCAGGGACGCTGGGCACTTGAGTACTTGCTGAAGGAGATACACCTTTGACTTTCCCTGATTGCCCAGATCAAAGTAGGGATAAGAGAACATGAAGTGAATGTGGGCATTATGGGCAGGGGAATCAGACAGAGAGCAAAAGGTAAGCACAGACCTAGGTCACAAGAGCTTTGTCCTGACGCCTCTGCTGCTTGCAGTGGACAGAACTCTTAAGTGTTTCTGGGCTTGTCTTCAGTTCTACCAATTGTCACAGAGTAGAAATTAGTGACTGTTTCCTAAGGGTGGATGGCCTAAAGTATCAGACTTGAGAATCTCTTTAACTGGCCAGAGATAGTGTCGGTTCATGGATGTCTGTGTTCTTGAGGCCCATTGTTGGTTCTTGGGCAGGAAGGAATAACTGTGCTCTGGAGTCTGCAGCTAAGTCTCCCTGCTATCTGCAGCCCTTCCAGAATGCAGCCAAACAGCAAGCCAAGGAGGAAGATAAAGAAAAGATGAAACTCAAAGAGCCGGGCATGCTGTCCCTTGTAGACTGGGCCAAGAGTGGCGGAATCACGGGCATTGAGGCCTTTGCCTTTGGGTCAGGGCTACGAGGGGCCCTGCGGTTGCCTTCATTTAAGGTATCCAGGAACGTGGTGGCGGGGAAAGCTGGTGGGCCTCCCTTCCTTGGGGAAATGATGGTTGGGAGTTGAGGGTTTTTTAAATTTTCCCTCCCTCTCATTCTCCCTGATTGAGTTGTAAGTGGGCCCCATTTTTCTGCATCTTCCAGGTGAAGAGGAAAGAGCCATCAGAAATTTCCGAGGCCAGTGAGGAAAAGAGGCCCAGGCCTTCTACTCCAGCTGAGGAAGATGAGGATGGTAAGTAGACAGTCGGCAGAAGAGAAAGGTGATCTGTTCAGAGTCTGATAGGAGAGGAGGAGTGAAGGGGCCAAGGTATTTCTGAGAACAAGGCACCAATTGGAGACCTTTATGCAGAATTAAAACAAATGAAAGGAATTCTAAAAGGCATCGGAAGCATCAGATAGGCCTCTCCCAGAGTTAGGGTTTAATTATGGCTATGCTGATTTCAATGAATCTGTGTTTTGGTTTTTTCCACTTACAAAGGAAGAATTCACATCTGGAGTTTACCACCTAATGCTTTTGTGGTACAGTCTTCCTAGTCTGTTGAAGTCTGGGTTGTTGGTTGGCAGCTTGTGTGATTTGAAGCTTCTTTATTGAGTCAGATTTGCTTCTCTGGAGAACCCTCAGTCCTATATTGTTTTCTTGAGCCAAATAAAATAAGTTAGCATTCTCTTTCACCCAGCTTAGAAGATGATGAAAGAAAATGTGTGGGACGTAGCTTAAGTTGTGTAATATGTTAGTGTGTTCATCTGTGTGCTGAGTTTCAACTTTCCTGCCTGTAAGTTTGGCCTGTTAGTAAAGTGGGCAATAGTGTGTGTAAAGTTCCTTGCATCTGGCGTAGGAGAGCAGTAATTACCGATAAACTGCAACTGCTCTGACTTCTCTTGCAGATCCTGAGCGAGAGAAGGAAGCTGGGGAACCAGGACGTCCAGGGACCAAGCCTCCGAAGCGAGATGAAGAACGAGGGAAGACCCAAGGCAAGCACCGGAAATCCTTTGCTCTAGACAGTGAAGGGGAAGAAGCATCCCAGGAGTCTTCCTCAGAGAAGGTAAGATGCTGGGCATCAGAGAGCCAGCTTCTCACTTAGCTGGAACCTAGGCAGCTAGCAGGGTTTCAAGAATGAAAACTTGTCTTTTTCCTGTTAGTCTCAATTTTTCATTTTCTTTAAGGATGAGGATGATGATGACGAAGATGAGGAAGATGAAGAGCGGGAAGAAGCTGTGGATGCCACCAAGAAGGAGGCAGAGGCATCGGATGGTAAGTTAAGTAGACTCAGGTCTGGCGGAGAAGGGATTGTAGTATCTAGTTTGTCTTTTTCTGACTTCATAGAGCTCTCCTGCTGGACTTCTGGCCAGTCTTTTTTTTTTGATTTTTCAAGACAGGGTTTCTCCGTAGCTTTTGGTTCCTGTCCTGGAACTAGCTCTTGTAGACCAGGCTGGCCTCGAACTCACAGAGATCCACCTGCCTCTGCCTCCCGAGTGCTGGGATTAAAGGCGTGCGCCACCACCGCCCGGCCTACTTCTGGCCAGTCTTGCCCTTAGCAAAGACAGTTGTTTTAGCAGCGTCCTTTGGAACATTAACCCCATTAGTTCAGATTATTCTGTCTTCTGAAGCTAGTCTCCCTCTGGACAGTCCAGCAAAGTCTGTGTCTTTTCTCAGGTCCTAGAGGTGAGCGGTATGTATTCTCCTCTTGCACCTTGATGCTACCAGACTAGACCTTTTCATCTTAGAGCAATGCTCTTTTTTTTTTGGGGGGGGGGTGGTGTTTCAAGACAGGGTTTCTCTATGGTTTTGGAGCCTGTCCTGGAACTAGCTCTTGTAGACCAGGCTAGTCTCGAACTCACAAGATCCGCCTGCCTCTGCCTCCCGAGTGCTGGGATTAAAGGCGTGCGCCACCACCGCCCGGCTGAGCACTGCTCTTCTTGTGAGGCCCAGCCACCAGGCTTCCTTTCTCTTCCCTTCCTGTGCGATTACCAGACACTTTTCTATCCGCTTACACATCTTCCATGGGTTGTACATACTTCAGAAGTATGTATGAAGGGACTGCAGAGGTGGCACAGTGATTAATAGCACTTATTGCTCTTACGGAGGACCCATGTTTGGTCCAGCACCTAGGGTGGTTCATAACTGCCAGTAACTTCAGTTCCAGGAGATCCAATGCCTTCCCAACTCCACAGGCATGTGGTGTATGTATATACACATAAATATACTGTTTTGTTTTGCTTTTCTTTTTTGAGACAGGATTTTTTGTGTAGCTTTAGAGCCTGTTCTGAAACTTGCTCTGTAGACCACCACTGCCTGTTGTTTTTTTGTTTTTTTTTTTAAGAAACATGCATTGAAAATCTGTGCGTACTTGTACTTGTTTTATGAAGTTTAGACAAAGCCTTGATTCAGACAGATGTAGTTACTGCTTTTAAAAGCTTGTTTGAAGTTGGGCAGTGGTGATGCATGCTTTTAATCCCAGCATTCAGGAGGCAGAAGCAAGAGGATCTCTGTGAGTTTGAGGCAAGTCTGGTCTACAGAATGAGTTAAGAACAGCCAGAGCAGTACACAGAAACTCTGTATCGAAAAACCAAAAGGGGAAGAAAAAAAAAGAAAAAAAAACCCAACTTGTTATGGGGACACACTTGTTACTTTTTAAGGAACAATGAAATAGAAATAGGGTGACAAGTCTGGTAATGTGCTGGACCCGAGGAAAGAGCCACTGTTGGATGTCAGTCAGGAATTTCTCTAAGGTACTGTTTCAGCAGTGGCTGGGGTTGGTAGCAATAATGATCTGAGGTCTCTGCTGAAGAAGCAAAGGACTGGTTGACCTGCTAAGAATGAAGACAGCTCCTGTCTATCTGCTGTATCTCTTAATGTGTGTCTTGAATTTGTCTTTGTTCCTGCTGTTTTGCCTTTCTCAACTGTTTTTGTAGTCCTCTTGTGCCTCTACCTAAGTGAAGTGCTAGGATTACAAACATGCCAGCATGCCTGGTGTGTGCGGTGCTAGGGAGCAAACAGTACTCTACCAGTTGGCCTGCATCCCCCAACTCCTCTGCTGCAATCTTGCCTGATTTCTGAGTCTCTCCCTTCCTTTTATTTCATTCCATTTTCCAAACAGCTAATAGTATTTTCTTTACTAAAATATGCATTTTGGGAAATGTACTCACTTCTCTAGAAGGTCTTTGCCTGACTCCCTATTTTCTACCAAAGTGGGCATTATAGGCCATTTGTATAGTCAGTCATTCTGGCCCCTGCTCATATGTTCTTTTCAGTTTTGTCTCTCCATGTTCCAGTTTACCACTACGACCTTCTAATTTACTCCATTATGGAATTCATAGATGCATCTGATTGCTTGCTCTCGCTCCCTCTCTCCCTGGCCTCATTGCCTTTCAAGTGCTGGGGTTATAGGAATTTTCCATCATACCTCTTCAGGATTTCTTAGTGCTCTCTCTCATCCAGTACTGATCTTCTGTAAGTGTGGTATTTATATATATATGTGTGTATCACATACATGTATGTCAGCTCTCTCCTTCCACCATGTAAGTTTCGGTGTTCAAAGTTAGGTCATCAGTTTGGCAACAGGTGCCTGCTAAAGCCATCTTGCTGGGCCCTTGTTTTGTTTTGTTGAGGAAGAGTCTCACATAGCCCAGGCAGGCCTCTAACTTATTATGTAGATGAACAAAACCTTAAACTTCTGGTCTTCCTGCCTCCACCTGTAGAACAAATGTGCCTATCACCACGACTAGCTTTTTATTTAACTTTATGTGCATTGGTGTGATGGTATCAGATCTCTTGGAACTAGAGTTACAGTTGTGAGCTCATGTGTTTGTGGGTGCTGGGAATTGAACCCTGGTCCTCTGGAAGAAAAGCCAGTGCTCGTAACACCTGATTCATCTCTCCAGCTCTATTTTTTTTAAATTTATTTGGCTTTTTATTTATTTTTAAAATTTTTGTTTTTTCAAGACAGGGTTTCTCTGTATAGCCCTGGCTGTCCTGGAACTCCCTCTGTGTAGCAGACTAGCATCAAACTCCCAGAGATCTGTTGCCTCTGTCTCCCGAGTACTAGGGTTAAAGACGTCCCACCATCGCCCAGCTGACTGACTTTTTTTTTTAATATTTATTTATTTATTATGTATAGAGTGTCTGCATGTACACCTGCAGGGCAGAAGATGGTACCAGATCTCATTATATGGATGGTTGTGAGTCACCATGTGGTTGCTGGGAATTGAACTCAGGACCTCTGGAAGAACAGCCAGTGATTTTAACCGCTGAGCCATCTCTCCAGCCCCCTGACTTTTTATTTTAATTAATTTCTTCAATTTAGTATACAATGTAGGATTTTCATTATGGCTATACATTTATATGCCATACACTAATCATACCTTTCCTACTGTTTGCTGGTACCCTCTCCTGAATTGTCCCTCCTTTTGCTTTAATCCACATACATTCATTGACCTTCCTTGTTCTCTTTTAAACCTCTCTCTATTCCCCCTCCACCCCCAGCGTCCTTTCTATGTTCAACGCATATACTGTTTATTGCAGAATTCTTTGAGTCCGTCTTCTACAAACCTACTTTGGTCCAAACTGACTACATGCCAGTCTTTAGGTCTCTCTTTTTTGTTGTTATTGATACTCCTGATTTATCTCCATTTCTTTGTGGTCAGATAGCTCCTCTTCCTCCTTTTTGATTTTAGCACCTCTTTAGGGAGGCCTTCCCAGACTTGTTCTTTTAAGCAGAACGCAGGGCTTTCTTTCCTGTGTTCTTCAGTCCCTTAGGCTAATGTTAGTCACTGTAAGCAGACACTTGCTTATTTAACCTCTTGACTTCTTGGACTTCTAGCACCGGGCCTAGAGCCACACAGCCAGAGTATTTAGTGAATGATCCCTCAGCTTGACCATTGATTGTCTCTTCTGGATTTCCAGGTGAGGATGAGGACAGCGACTCATCTTCCCAGTGCTCTCTGTATGCTGACTCAGATGGTGAAAACGGGAGCACGTCAGACTCCGAGAGCAGCAGCTCCTCTTCCTCTTCATCCTCTTCTTCCTCCTCCTCCTCCTCCTCCTCATCTTCCTCATCAGAGTCTTCCTCTGAAGAAGAGGAACAGTCAGCAGTCATTCCCCCAGTGTCACCAACCCCCAGAGAAGTCCCAGAATCCCTTCCAGCACCTGATGAGAAGCCTGAGACAGACAGGGTGATAAACTCCCCTGCTATGCCTCTCCCTGAAAAGGAGACATCACCCACACGGCCTACAGGTAGGTTTCATCAGACAGGTCATGTGACTAAGATGTATGTTTGTCAGTGTCTTGGAGAATGGTGTCTACATACACTTCGTACCTGAGGTGCTGTGTGTATGTGGAGGCAGTTAAATGGTCACGTGCTAACACTAACTCATGTCTGAGTTTTGCCTTTGCTTTCCTTTGCAGATGTGTATGGTCCTTATTGTTCTGTAGCACATGCACATGATGGTCCTGTGGTAGGTAGGGACTGTGCGTTCATACAGTAGAAGTTTATTGAGCACTACTACTACCAGTAGCAGTACAAAGACATGATGGTGTGTCTGACAGGAGCTGTTCTCATCCTCATAAAGCTTTCAGTCTACAGGGAGATACAGGCCAGTCAAGCAATAAGTGCATAAAATAACTATGATTTTAAACCATTAAATACTATGAAGGGAAGATGCAAGGAACTCAGATTCCTGAGAGTGTCTTTGGGTCTGGGCACATCATCCTGCTGAGGCACAGTGGTCTGAATAGCAGACACTGAGGAGGAACTAGCAGATATATAGACTCTGCATAAGGCACAGAATACAAGTTGGAACACCTGTAAGAAAGCTCACCCTATGGTATGTTGAAAATTTAGGGTGAAGCGTGGCCAAAACTGTAGAAGTGACTGAGGCCCTCCTATGCAAAATGCAGAATCTATGTAAAAAATTTTTTCTTTGCCATGGAAAGGAAATTACTAGATAATAGTGATTTGAAAGGATACATTACGAAGGGGAGTTGGAGAGGAGCCAGAGTGTCACAGGGACACTTTTTCTTTTTTTGTTTTTTTGAGACAGGGTTTCTCTGTAGCTTTTGGAGACTGTCCTGGAAATCACTCTGTAAACCAGGTTGGCCTCAAACTCAGAGATCTGCCTACCTGTGCCCCTGAGTGCTGGAATTAAAGGCGTGTGCCACCACCACCCGGCTGCAGGAAAACTATTCAGAGGCTGGGAAGATGGGACTTAAGGGTCCCTCTAAAATTAATTTTTTTTTTTTTTTTGGATTTTTCGAGACAGGGTTTCTCCATAGCTTTTTGGTTCCTGTCCTGGAACTAACTCTTGTAGACCAGGCTGGCCTCGAACTCACAGAGATCTGCCTGCCTCTGCCTCCCGAGTGCTGGGATTAAAGGCGTGCGCCACCACTGCCCGGCTAAAATTAAATTTTAAAAAATTTCAACATCCATAAGATGAAGACTTCTTCTGACACTGTATACTGAATCTATGGGCAAGAGAAGACCACTTAGGAGGCATTTTTCTCCTTCAATTTTTCTGGGCCCACATCTACATTTCCAAAAGGCCATTCTGGCTGGAAGAGGGATTTGGAAAAGGGGAAGGAGATATAAGGGTAGCATTAGAGGGGACACAGGTAAAATACAATTCCTGGATTGGGGATAGAGCCCAGCAGGTAAAGTGCTTCTCCTACACAAACCAGAGAACCTTTGGGTTTGATCCTAGCACCCACATAAAGGTGTGGTGGCTTGCACTTATAATACCACGTTTGGGGAAGCAGAGACAGATCCCTGGGTTGAGCTCCTTGTCCCAGTGAAAGACCATATCTCAAAACCCAGGGTAGACAGTTGAAGAATTACACTTGAGGTTGTGGGTCAGAGACAGAAAATAAGTGGAAATCAGGATGAAGAAGAGGATAAATAACTTGGTGATACTACATGCCACAAAAAGATGGTAAAGTGACCTAGGATTATAGGCACGGATGATTTGGAGTTGAGTTGTGGCCTCTGGACTTTGAGTTGAAAACATTGGCAATTGGGGTATAGAGCTGAGGTTTTGGAGTCAGGCAGGAAGATATAAAGTTTGAGGCCATTTTAGACTATTCAGGCCTAATCTAGGCAATTTAGCAAGACCCTCTATCAAATAGAATTTTACAAAGGTCCAGCAGTCTAGCTCAGTGGTAGTATTTACTAGCATGCATAAAGTCCTAGGTACAGTGTCCAGTACTAACTGACTGAATACACAAATAAATAAAAAATGAAAAGGCGGGGTTAGACTATGTTATTGTGCGCAGGAGAAGTTATAATAAGATAGAAGTGCCTTGGACGTGACAGGTCATTAGAATTACAAATTTCAGATGAATAGTTGAGGCTGAAAGCAAGTAATAAGGGACAAGGGAAGGTAACAGCGATAGCTAGTTTCCTCTAAGGGTAGGGTATACAAGGAGGGCTGTGTGGCTTACCAGGAAATTGGGGAAGACCTGAAAAGGTAGTTCACACGTTCCTCTGGAAATTGTCAGCTTAATAACTAACTAGTAGCCTAATTAAAGAAAAGACGTTGAGGGTCTAGATATAGCAGCCAATTTCAGTCAGTTTATATAGCAGCCAGTGATATGAGCTTCATCCTGGACTCCACTGAGCTCCAGGCTAGTCTGAGCTACATGAGACCTCTTTCAAAAAGCAGGAGATGGAGTGGGTGGGTGTGGGTATGCTTACATGGTATGCTTACTGGGAGAATTCAGAGACGAGTAGAACATCTTGGTCTTGCCTTTTTTATTTTCTTTTTTGGTTTTTCAAGACAGGGTTTCTCTGTGTATATTTGGAGCCTGTCCTAGAACGTGCTCTGTAGACCAGGCTGGCCTCCAACTCACAGAGATCCACCTGCCTCTGCCTCCTGAGTGCTGGGATGAAAGGTGTGTGCCACCACAGCCCAGTGGTCTTGCCTTTCTTTTGTCTTTTAGTTTGGTTTATTTTTGCTTTCCCCAGGAAATTGGTTTCCTTTGTTTCTTCATTCCAGTACAGTGTTCATACTCACCAACCACCAGGCTAGCAATAGGCCAACCAACCTACTATCTTAGACCTTCTTAGAAGTCTGTGATTGGGCCAGCTTGGATCAGGTGCAGTCTTTGTGGTATCACTTAGTGATGGCTCTGAGGGAGAAAGCTGGGGGACACTGACTTCTAGGGCCTTGTCTTTAAGAATTGAGGTCATGGACGAGCAATTCCCAGAAAAAAAGTAGTTGTACTGCCTGAGCAGGTAACCCAAAAATTGTATCCTAAATGAAAGCCTGTGGAAGTGAGGGACCGAAGAAACCTGTGTGAAGAAGCTGAGTTGGATGCTAAGATCTGTACTTTGCCATTGTCCGAGACCCACGTGATACCCACGTGACACAACACATTGAAGGGCCTTACTTAGTGTTCCCAAGTAAGGAGCACTTCAGTTTAAGGCAGTATGCTCAGCTGATTGCTGCCTGCCCAGCCAGATGTGGTACTGGCTGCCACTTAGTATTGAAAATGGTACAGTGAGATGTAAAAGCTATAAGCCCACAAGTGTCTAGTCATGAAATGTGTTCTTTTCCAACAGTCTTATAAATAATCTAGAAGCCCAATTTTTTTTTTTGTGGCAGCCCTTCCCTCCCTGGTTTTTCTAGTTTGACTAGACATTTGATTTGGTCAGTTATCCCATTTGAATGAAAGCTTCCTGCACTTGTCTGTCTCCTCTGAGTTTTCTCCATGCCTGACATGACCAGAGTAGATGTTTGTTAGCTGGAATAATGAATAGATACAGAGCCCTATCCTGTTCAGGGAGTACACAGGGCTGAGAGTGATATGGGCAGGAGAGAGGCAGGCAGGAGTGTCCACTGTGTAAGCAGGTATGTGTATTTATCATCATGATTGTATTAGATGGAAGCTGGCTGGGCAGTGGTGGCACATGCCTTTAATCCCAGCACTTGGAAGGCAGAGGCAGCTGGATCTCTGTGAGTTCGAGGCCAGCCTGGTCTACAAGAGCTAGTTCCAGGATAGACTCCAAAAGCTACAGTGAAACCCTGTCTCGAAAAAAACAAAACAAAACTTTATATGGAAACTGAGGCAGAATAGGGTAGAACTTGATGAAGTAAGGCTGCTTCACGCTAGTATAGCTGAGCCCAGGTCTCCAGCCCTGACGGTTTTGTCTAATGAAGTTGGCCTTTGCCCACGTGCTTCCATCCCCAGGTACTGCTGAGGAAACACCTCCTAATATACCACAGCCTCCTCCAGAGCCACCAGCTGGACCTCCAGACCCTGCCCCTCGCCTGGATGAGCGTCCCTCTTCTCCTATCCCTCTCCTACCCCCACCTAAGAAACGCCGGAAAACTGTCTCCTTCTCTGCCGCTGAGGAGACACCAACCCCAGAGCCTCCCCCAGCTGCCCCACTGCAGGCCAAGTCTCCTGGTCCAGTCTCTCGAAAAGTTCCCCGGGTTGTGGAGCGGACCATTCGGAACCTGCCCCTGGACCATGCATCTCTGGTTAAGAGTTGGCCTGAGGAGGTGACCCGAGGGGGTCGGAATCGGGCTGGAGGTCGTGTCCGCTCTACTGAAGAAGAAGAAGCCACTGAGTCAGGGACAGAAGTGGACCTGGCAGTGCTGGCTGATCTAGCCCTGACCCCAGCCAGACGTGGGTTAGCTATCCTACCCACTGGTGACGACTCAGAGGCCACAGAGACCTCAGACGAGGCTGAGCGCCCAAGTCCTCTACTCAGCCATATTCTCTTAGAACACAACTATGCCCTGGCCATCAAGCCTCCACCTGCCACACCAGCACCTCGGCCCTTAGAGCCAGCTCCTGCCCTGGATGCACTCTTCAGCTCCCCAGCTGATGAAGTCTTGGAGGCCCCTGAGGTGGTGGTGGCTGAGGCAGAGGAGTCAAAGCAACAGTTGCAGCAGCAGCATCCAGAGCAGGAGGGGGAGGATGAGGAGGAAGATGAGGAGGAAGGGGAGTCCGAGTCTTCAGAAAGCAGCAGCAGCAGCAGCAGCAGCAGTGACGAGGAAGGAGCTATCAGGAGGCGCAGCCTCCGCTCCCACACTCGACGAAGACGGCCACCACTCCCACCCCCACCCCCACCGCCTCCTTCCTTTGAACCAAGGAGTGAATTTGAGCAGATGACCATCCTATATGACATTTGGAACTCAGGCCTGGACTTGGAAGACATGAGCTACCTGCGACTCACATATGAGCGGCTGCTGCAGCAGACCAGTGGGGCCGACTGGCTTAATGATACCCACTGGGTCCATCACACAAATATCCTGAGCCACAGAGCCTGCTTATTCCCTAGAGCAAGACACGGGGTTGGGGTGGGGACAGCTTTCCTTGGGGTCATGTGGCTAGAAATGTCATCCTCCAGTCACTCCTAGGATTGTATACTGGTCTCCTATCTGTCTAACTCACTGTGCCTTGGTTAGCTTTGGGGTTCTCTAGCTGCCAGCTTTCTTTTCCCTCTGCCTCGTGTCTTTTCTGACAGAACAAGTAAGGTCTAGACTTGCCTTATCCAGTCTGTCTCCTGAATGTTCTCACCGTTGGACCAGCTACTGGGTAGGCTGGGTTTGGGGTGGACAGGAGGTGTGGGCCCCAAGGGACTGGCCAGTAGGGAACCTGTTCTCTTCCTTAACACCCTGCACTCACCAACCTAAGCACTCCAAAGCGCAAGCGACGGCCCCAAGATGGGCCCCGGGAGCATCAGACAGGCTCTGCACGCAGCGAAGGTTACTATCCCATCAGCAAGAAGGAGAAGGACAAGTACCTGGATGTGTGCCCTGTCTCAGCCCGACAGCTGGAAGGCGTGGACACTCAGGTAGAGCCCTGCCCCAAACCCTAGCTTGCCTCCTCCTTCCAGTCCTTCAAGCACCCACCACCACCTTAATCTTGTTCACAGGGGACTAATCGGGTGCTTTCTGAGCGACGGTCAGAGCAGCGGCGGTTACTGAGCGCCATTGGCACCTCAGCCATCATGGATAGTGATCTGCTAAAGCTAAACCAGCTCAAGGTCAGGAGGGGAAACTGGAGGAGGGAGGAGAAACACAACAAGGAGATTGCCCCTGCTGTGATCCTGTGGGACAGGGGAAGGTGCAAGTTTGTGGGAGCATCAAACCGTTAAAGCTACTTTCTGTCTCTTAGTTCCGGAAGAAGAAACTCCGATTTGGCCGGAGCCGGATCCATGAGTGGGGTCTGTTTGCCATGGAACCCATCGCAGCTGATGAGATGGTGATAGAATATGTTGGCCAGAACATCCGCCAGGTAAGGTTCCGCTCCAGCATCAGCCTAGCTGCTGACTGTACAACAGCATGAAATTTCACGCCATCATCTGAGGCTTTTACAAAGCCTCACTCATTACTGCTACTGCCACTGCTCAGCTTTGAGACTTACTTAGTAAAGTAGACGTTAGTAGGCCAGCCTCCCGGGAACACTGGGCAGCAATGATAGTCAAGAATGGTGTTGATACCAGGGGGTTGTAGATGTCGGGACCCAGAGCCTCCCAGAGCCCTGGAAGCTAAAGGGCCGGGAACTCCTGGGGCAGCAGGATATATGTGCTCCAGTTCTGGGGACAGCGTGTGCAAAGGCTTAGAAGCTGCATCCTCTTAGGAAGATGTGGCCAGTGCATGTGTTCAGGGCTAGTGACAGAGATGTGAGCCTGAAAATGCAAGAGGAGCCAACTCCTCAGAGCTGGAACCATATCAGTCAAGTGTGACCTTGTGGATGGATGGGGAATGTCCTGGAAGCTGTGCAAGCAAGGACTTGAGAAGCTAATAAGCTCCCTCTGGCTGTGTAGAAAAGAGCTTGTGTAGGCTGGTCTCGGTGGGGCTTAATGGCAGATCAAAGCCAAGGTATGGAAGAGGTAGTGGCCCAGGGATGACAGGAGTCTAGCCTGTGGGTCCAGAGTGGTTGACAGAACCAGGTAGTTGGCCGTAGAGGGTGAAGGTAAGGTGTTGAGGTCTTTCTCAAGGTATCCCCATTAGCTTCTAGGAATGTGATTGGGAGCAGCAGAAGGAACAGAAATAAGATCAGGATTGTCCCAGTGTAGACATAGGCTCAGGGTCCTAGGGTTGTAGGGATGACATCCCACAGTCCTACTGAGGTGGACTTGGCTGGAGATTGAAGCCTGGAGGAGTCCTCACCACAGAACTGCTGGTTAGAACTCTGCAAAGGGGTAAGGTCACCCAGTGAGAATGGAGAATGCATTGCTTATTTCCTGGGAATGGCTGCCCCTTGCTAAAAGCCTTTGTCCTGGCACAGACCATCTGCCATCTGCTCTTGCCAGCTGCCCATAGGTGTCTATTTGGGAAGGATAGTCTTAGGAGAGGATTCAATTGAAGGCATGGCACTGTCATCTCAGAAGCTGCCCCAAGCCCACAGCATACTGTTGGCTCCACTGTGGCCACAGGTTCTCCAAAGAGCCAATACTGGTTTCTCCAGAGTCCTTCTGTGGCTGACTTTGGGTCAGAATAGGTGGGAGCAGGTAGACCCAGGTGCTTATCCAATCAGTGTGACCCCAGGAGCTGCTGGGAGCAAGTCTAGCCCGTGCAGTGGCTGATGTCCATGACGTGTGCATCTCATCCTCCCAGATGGTAGCTGACATGCGGGAGAAACGCTACGTTCAGGAGGGCATTGGCAGCAGCTACCTTTTCCGGGTGGATCACGATACCATCATTGATGCCACCAAGTGTGGCAACCTCGCCAGGTTCATCAACCACTGCTGCACGGTGCGCTCAGGGCTGGGCCAGGGCTGGGCTGGGCAAGGGTGAGGTGGGGCTGCGGCTTACACTGCCCCTCCTGCAGCCCAACTGCTACGCTAAAGTGATCACCATCGAGTCTCAGAAGAAGATTGTGATCTACTCCAAGCAGCCCATTGGCGTGGATGAGGAGATCACCTACGACTACAAGTTCCCACTAGAGGACAACAAGATCCCGTGTCTGTGCGGCACTGAAAGCTGCCGTGGCTCCCTCAACTGAGGTGGGGCAGGACTGGTGCCCTCACCCCTATTTATTCCCCCTTGGTGCCCTAAGCTCCCAGCACCCCCAGCCTTAGTGGGCTCAGCAGGGCCCACATGTCCCCATCTCCACATGTGGGATAGGGGCCCTGAGCCCAGCAAGGGAGCCTCAGTCCTTTGAGGTAACTTCTGACTCCCCATACCCTTTGCCCAACCACCCTCTTAATTTTTTTTTCTTTGCGGAGAAGAAGCTGTAAATGTTGTGTAGCTGCCAGCAGCTGTTTCCTGTGGAAACCTGGGGTACCAGCCTGTATAGATGCTATTCTTGGGGGCTGAAGAGCCCTCTGCTTCATGTTAGTGGGGACTTCCCCTTCTGTCCTATATGCACCCCTCCCCAATTTAGGGGTCTCTGGGGCAGTGGCCATGTTCTCCCCCTGGGGGGGCCTTTGGCCCCTAGTCCTGGGAACTCTGTGCCTGGAACCCTGCCTCATCTGTTCCTGCCAGACCCTGTGGGTCACCCTCCCACCCTGGTGTCTCAGAGCTCTGGCTCAGTGGGCCAGGATGGTGGGGGGCAGGCCCTTCTTGTTGGGCTGGATTGTATATAATGTTAATAGTGAAAACCCAACGCCACATTTTTATAATTGTGATTAAACTTTATTGTACAAAAATGCTTGGTCAATATCTTTGGGAAGAGCAGGCTGGGATGCGGGTGAAGTGAGAGGACGAAAGTGGGTGGCCTGAAGTTTGGGGTGAATAGGCCTGCGGACAGCAGTATTGCTGTGGACCAACCACCTAAAGGACTACAACAACCAGCCCATATCTCCCCAGGGATGCTAGCCAGAGCTGTACCAAGATCAGGCTTCCCTCCTCTCTCTCCCCAGAACCACAGCTGGTGCTGGGACTCCAGCCTCTTGGGAAACCCAGCAGGAGGGAAGAAGCAAGGTCACGTAGCAGTGATGAGGTCACCCTGTCTCGACCCCATTATCCCTAAATACGTCTTTAGCAAGTGGGCAGGTTCTGTCCTCTGCCACAGAGAGTGGAATGGCCACCAGGGGGCACTCTGGCAAGAGAATTCCCTCCTCCAAACTCCCTTGCCCGCCCCTAGGGGTGGAGGCTAGGCTGGTCTTCCTGGAATGGGCCAGGGAGGAGGAGCAAGCGGAAGGAAGGAAGCCTGTGTGCAGCTAGCTGGCCCACCAGCCCAGGACACAGCCTCTCCCAGTGGCCAGTTTGGACTCCCTGGGACTAGCTGCAGGTAGGCAGAGACACTACTGAGCCCTCGGGGCCCTTCTCTTACTTCGCTCAGTCCTTACCACCTCCTTGCACCCTTTCTAAACGACTCTTTACCTGTTTTCCCTTCTTTAGTATCCCCAGTCATTTTTTCCATCCACCTCAATCCCTAACCCGTTCTGCATCCAATCCGGGTGATTCAGCAGGGTAAGAGGGTAGGTAGTCTGATTGCTACCAGCACACAACTGCACCCCACAGCTACTAAGCCTCTTCCACCTAGATTATCGCCCCACCTACTAGATCCCTTCTAGGAAAAACACATAGTTGAAGCAAGTGGTGTCAGGCAATTCTAGTGAGCTAAATTCTCTTCCCACAGCTGGGCATGGCAGAATCTGAACAGGTGCCAACACTGGTCTACCTGGTCACAGGTGGTTGTGGCTTCCTCGGGGAGCATATTGTTCGAATGCTGCTGGAGCGGGAGCCCAGGCTTCGGGAGCTGCGTGTCTTTGACCTGCACCTCAGTTCCTGGCTGGAGGAGCTGAAAACAGGTGACTGAGTGGGGCAGTAGGTGTGGTGCCCCAACCTCCCCAAACTGGGATTTGTGCAGTTGTGGAAAAGGTGATTCCTATGTCTGTCCTCCAGCTCACGCAGGCGGGATGGGTGAGTCACAGGGAACACATGGTCCCCTAGGGGCATGCAGGCCAAACTCTGCAGCCGGCTAAGTCCTCAGCTCTGACACTGCCTTGGGCTTCTCCACCAGGGCCTGTGCAGGTGACCGCCATCCAGGGGGATGTGACTCAGGCCCACGAGGTGGCAGCTGCTGTGGCTGGATCTCATGTGGTCATCCACACAGCTGGGCTGGTGGATGTGTTTGGGAAGGCCAGTTCAAAGACCATCCACAAAGTGAACGTGCAGGGTGAGGTGCTACCTACATGTTCTTCCATGTGACACCGTCATTCCTTAGCATGTGGCCTGACCTTAGCATGGGCATCCTGTGATTTTCTTGTGAGAGCCTGTCCTGCTGATCACGGGGCCCCGTCCCTGCTCCCCCACCCTTTCCTGACCTGTGGTGGTTCACCCTGGACACAGGGTGAAGCCAAAAAAGATGTCGAGGCAGGAAGAAGACAGCTTGCATTTGTCCCTTCCCTTCACAGGCACGCAGAATGTGATCGAGGCTTGTATACGGACTGGAACTCAGTTCCTGGTCTACACAAGCAGCATGGAAGTTGTGGGGCCTAATATCAAGGGCCACCCCTTCTACAGGTGAGCTCAGCCCCACTGAATGTCAGAGGCCCTTTACCTCCAGCATTGAGTCTGTTTTCTCCCCCTCTAGGGGCAATGAGGACACCCCATATGAAGCAATCCACAGGCACCCCTACCCTTGCAGCAAAGCCCTTGCTGAGCAACTGGTCCTGGAGGCCAATGGAAGGAAGGTAGGCTGCAAAAACAGGGCTTGGGGTGCTGAAGGTAGAGGAGAACCTGACCCCCAGGCTTCTTTGCATTCATCTCCGCCCCATGGTGGCCAGGATAGAGGCGTGTGCTCCATCATTTTCCCTTTGCCACCAGGTCAACGGAGGGCTACCCCTGGTGACATGTGCCCTTCGACCCACGGGCATCTACGGTGAAGGTCATCAGGTCATGAGAGATTTCTACAACCAAGGACTGCGCTTTGGGGGTCGGCTCTTTCGAGCCGTCCCGGCTTCTGTGGAGCACGGTCGAGTCTATGTTGGTAAGGACAGAGCAAGGCAAAGGGAACCCGAGAGCAGCGCAAAGGGGCTGGCTCTGAAGGTGGCAGAGTCACGAGTGTCCCCCTGGCCCTGTGAGGGCTCAGGTAGACGGTGATCATGTGGGCACTTTCTGCATGGATCGCAAGAGAAAGTCTCCACGCCAGCTGGGAGGGCTGACATGTCATGGGTTATGCCGAGCACTGAAGCAGGGTGAGGACAGTTCTCCAGAGAAAGACAAGGGCAGCATCCAGACAGGAACCGAGTAGCTACGGGATATCCGGGAGGGCGGTGGCTACAGGGGTGGGGGAGAGCCACCTTGAGGTTTGGGCCAAACAGGGGCCTGGACCAAGGGTCCTCAGGGGCTTATCTGCCTCCCTCCCTACTGGTAGGCAATGTGGCTTGGATGCACGTGCTGGTGGCCCGAGAGCTGGAGCAGCGGGCAGCACTCATGGGTGGCCAGGTGTATTTCTGCTATGATAAATCACCTTATAAGAGCTACGAGGACTTCAACATGGAGTTTCTGGGTCCCTGTGGACTTCGGCTGATAGGCACCCACCCACTGCTGCCCTACTGGCTGCTGCTGCTGCTGGCTACTCTCAATGCCCTGCTGCAGTGGTTGCTTCGCCCACTGGTACTGTACACACCCCTGCTGAATCCCTACACTCTGGCCGTGGCCAACACCACCTTTACTGTCAGCACCAACAAGGCACAGCGCCATTTTGGCTACAAGCCCCTCTTCTCATGGGAAGAGAGCAAGGCCCGCACCATTCACTGGGTGCAGGCCTTGGAGGGTTCGGCCTGGTGACAGCAGGGCCAGGGACTGGAGGCCACTGTGGCACACACTCAAGGTCCTGAACCTTCAGAGCCTGGATGGAGAGAAACGACTGCCTTCTGAAGCTAGGGGCTGTGGTGCCTGACTGGGTGGTAAGAACCGTGCCACGTTTTAACTACATAGATCTTGAGCCTGGGTGCTATCCCAGCCTCCAAGTTCTAACAGGGTTTAGGAACAGGCCTATCTTTGGTCCTGAGGCCTGCCAGCTGAGTGGCAAAACTGATTTCTAAATGGTCTCACTACCTTTCCCACTTCTGGTTTCTCAAGCAGGAAGGGGCTCACGCTGGTCTGCTTACTCCAGGTGGTCTTCTGCCACATCTGGCTCTCCTTAAGGGGTTATAGTTCTATCATTATTTAAATGTGTATCTCTTTTAGACATTTATCTTTTAATTTGCTTTAAAGAAAGCTGAAGAAATCAGTGAGTTTCCATGTCTTCTCCAACCACATTCAGTGCCTGTGATATTGTTAGCTTTCTGCCGAGGGGGCCAACCATGTGGTATCAGGCCAAGCCTGGATTAAAATCCTTTTCCAAGTCTGTGTCTACCTGTTGTCTCCCCTCCCCCAAGTGTCTCCCGTCACCACGGCGCCTGTCCCATGTGGGGACAGAAGGAAGTGAGCACACAGCAAGCCCGCTGTTGGATTGGTTGCTATTTCTCCCGTCCCACCAGGCCCAACCTGGCCCAAGATGGGGTTCGGGCGCTCTGGGGACAGGACATGCAGGTCTGGGGCAGGGGTCAAAATTTCCTGTATTTGATCCATTTGCAAGTTGATCACCAATAGAGAGAAATAAGACTCTGAGGGCTAACAGGAGGGTGGCCAGGCTCTGGGCCCCCAGCCAGGCCCCAGGAGTCCTGTCCCCTCAGGGGAGGGGAGGGAGAGAGTTCTAGAAACCAATGGAGAAAAAAAGGGGGCAGGGGCTCATGTCAGCAAACATGGCTACATCACGTGACACGCCAGCAACACAGAAACACACCAACGCACACAGCTGCACAGCGGGGCGTGGGGAGAGGCGAGTGGGGAGAGGGAAGCTAGGGACCAGCCATCTTGTCCTCTGTGAGGTGGGCAGGGCAGGGTGAGTTCACAGAACACATCATGTGTACACGCTCAAGGCATGACAAGAGCGTGATGACCCACGGGCACAGGAGACAGACACATGGTGGGCTTTGTAAGAGGCAAGGAAGGGACAATGGAAGCATTGAGTCCTGGCTTGGGCCTAGGACCACCACGGGGGCACATTTGGGCTTGATGGTTTTAGGTGTGTGGAGGGCAGGTGGCACACACTTATCTGAGAACATGCAAAAGACACCAGCCCCCAGACAATCATCCAGGACACACATATGGACAACAGTCAACAAGCTTGTCCATCATGTGATGTGTAGGTCTTGTAGAAAGCTGGGTTACAGCAGACTCAGGACTGCTAATCCACTTGAGGCCCAGTGGTGGGCAGCCCTGAGCCCAGTGCCATTCAAAGAGGCAAAAGCAGCATGCCAGCCACAGTCTGTCCTTGGGAACACCGTGACTGGGGTGTCAAGAGAGGCTGCTAGAAACACCTAGGTTGAAGGGGGTTCTGGCTGGGCTGAAGGAAGAAGTGGGAGGATGCTGGGGCCTCCTCTGGCATCTCCAGAGAAGTCAAGGATGGGGGCACGAAGCTGTGGGCGAACTCCCGTCCTGCTGAAGAGTATTCTGGAAATGGATAGGCAGGCTCCCTCCTCAGCACAGCTAACCTGGGGTTACATACATGTGGATGCACACATGCACACACGCATACACACCAGGTGGGCAGAGCTCAAACAGCCAGGCAGGGAAGAGATGAGCTGTCAGGGCTTGCTCAGAACATTTCCATCTAGAAAGCCATATTTTCAGGGACTCCTCCTCTCCCCTCGTCCTGCATGCACCTGTGTTCACACACACTTCACATGGCTACCCGACTGCAGGCCAGGACACATGTGCCTCTGTGTGCCTACACGTTCATAGGACTTGCAGTGCTGTCCTTTATCCCGCTGACATCCTGCCTGCTCCCAGAGAGCCCACAAAGTGCACACATAGCTGTGCACACAGTGGAAGGCTTTCTCCATTCCTCACCACTGGAGGATGCTCCCTGTCTCAACCTCCCTGTCACCCAGCTGTGGTAGTGACCATGGCTGATGCTTCAGCAGTACATGTTTCTGAGGGACAGATTCAAGGATGGCCCTAAGTAGCCACTCAAGTGTGTGTAAAATCCAGCTGCCCAAACACAAGTTCCTCGAGGAAGAGTTCAGAGTATTGGCTGAGGCAGTGAGGACAAACAAGAGCTTCGAGGTGAGTTTGAGAGGCAGGAAGGGTAAATGCCATGGTTTCCCACCTGTCTGGAGCAGCCCTTGGCATCTTACCTCCTTAGGCCTACCACACTCCTTCCAGGAGACAGTTTGTGTGCAAACTGGTGTGGCCCAGGATGGGCACCATGCTGTTTGTGTGTGAGGCCCCAGCCCCTGTGTGTGACCACCTTTCTGGAACTTCCTCAGCCTTGGCATTTATGAACACACTAGGACGTGCTAGTTGTTCAAGGCTCAGTACTACTGTCAGGCAGAAAGAGAAAGGTAAGAGTCTGGGTGTGTGCTCCCGTCAGATGGTCTGGAGAGGGAGGACACGGCAATGGCACACTCCTGATGGAGCAGTGTGAGCCGCTGTTCTGAGGAAAGGGAGGGAGCAACTAAGTCTGGAGAAACGAACCTGGGGAGCATGAACTTAAAGAGAAATGTGTGTGCGTGTGATGCACAGAAGCAGAAACATGTAGAAAGTCCATAAGGGTGCACACGTACACAGTCGTCTTCCAGTAGCTTAGTGACAGCTATCTCTACCCATTCAAAACTAGTGTCTGATTCACAGCATGGATGGCTCTGTCTAGGAGAAGATTATCAACACTACACCACAGAGAGAGAGACAGAGACAGACAGAGAGAGAGACAGAGAGAGAGAGAGAGTCCTGTGCACAAGCCCTTTACATCACCATCTATTAGGAAGTACACACTCATACAAACTAAGTCAGGATCTTTATCATTTACACACAGGCTTCCACTTGCCTCCCCTGAACTCAAGGCTCAACACACACACACACACACACACACACACACACACACACACACGGGTGGGGGGAGTCCCCAGGACATTAAGTGAACCCCTGGCAGTAACTGAGCCAGGAGAGTTTGTGAATTCTACATCACAGGAGACATGTGCAGTGGTCTCTGGGCCTCCCTGGATCCTCGGAGGCTGGGAATTACCCTCACACGTACCTCCCACTCCAGATGGAGCAGATAGGAGAGAGGTCAGCGGAGGAGCTGCTTTTGCATTGGGTTTTCACACTTAGACAATTCCATGTACACACATTGTATGGCTACAGATCTATGCACACACACACACACACACCTGCACTACACGTGTCTGTTCACAGACGACAGGTTGGGGTATGGCGGGCTGCTGTGTTCTACTCGGCCACAGTCTGCACAGCAACAGGAGAGAGGGAAGTTCAGACCACACAGGATGGAGGTGGCAGAAAGAGGTTCAGGGGATCTACATACATCTACACAAGTACATACACGCTGGGGTGTCCACACGTCTTGAGCATGTGCCCGCGGCATGCATGTTAGTGTGCATGTGTGATCACGCCTGCTGTTATCTATGTGCGGCAAGGTGGAGGGGGGATCCATGGCAAAGTCAGAGCCAGGGATTCCAGGGTGTGCGTGAGGGTGGCAGGAGCTGAAACTGCCTGGGTCTGTTTTGGGAGTGAGCTCGGAGCAGGGGAAAGTGAGGGACGGGGATTGCTCCCGATGAGTGGAGAGGGACTGAAGGAAGAGAAGGGTAGGGGCCTACAAGCCCAGGGTCCCCCCAATGGATGACGCCAAGACCACCCCCAGCACCACACAGCAAATGATGATCATGATTTTCTTCTGCAGGTGCAAAGGTGAGGGGGGAAGAGGAAGAGAGAGAGAGAGAGACAGAGACAGACAGACAGACAGACAGACAGACAGACAAATGAAGGGAGAGTCGGGATATAGGACATGAGGAAAGAGGGGAGAGAAAACAGAAACAGGAAGAGGTCAGAGCCAGAGATAAGGCCTCTCACCCATTTCGTAACTGCCACACCCCGCCCACTGATCTCCTACCCCCGTCAGGCCACCTCCACTGGCTTACCCTCCTCGCCTTGCTCTGATATTTCACAGCTTTCTTGGTGTCGGACACAGCTCGTTCCACATAGTCCACGGAATGTTCCACATTGTATTCGATGCGGTCAATCATCTCGCCCTGCAGACGGGGGAATATGAAGAAGGGAGAATGAGGGTCGGCTGGAAAAGGCACCCTTGGGGCTCGTGGGGTCCCCCAGACTGGTGCAGCCTGTACCTGGCTCTCCACAAGCATGGCCATGTCCACAAACATGTCGTGCAGCTCCCGGATGCTGGTCTCCAGTTTGATGATCTCATTGTGCCTGGTCTCGATCTCATTTAGTGCCTGCTTTGTCATCTGCGAGTCCATTTTGATCTAGGGCGGTGCGAGGAAGAATGGGCTGTGACCACCCTTTGTCCATGTAATGGTTTCAACTTAACAGTTAGAGGGGCTGGGTACAAGTCCTTGGGCAAATTATTTACCCTCTCTGGACCTTGCTAGCCACCACCTAGAAAATATGGATCATAGGCTGGGTGTGCTGGTGCATGCCTTTAATACCAGCACTCGGGAGGCAGAGGCAGGCAAACCTCTGTGAGTTTGAGGTCAGCCAGGTCCACAGAGTGAGTTCCAGGACAACCAAGGCTACACACAGAAACCCTATCTGGAGAAAAAGAGGTGGAGGGAGAGGGAGAGAAAGAAAGAAAAGAAAAGGAAGGGAGGAAGGGAGGGAAAGGAAGGAAGGAAGAAGAATCATAATAGCACCTATCTCAAAAGACTGTTGTGAAATTGAATGTGTCTGTGTATGTAACTTTGGACAATCCCTGGAACACCATAAGCATCAAAAGAAGTTTGTTGAATTACAAGAAATAAAGCTTGTAGAAGGCTGGCAATCTGGCCCCAGGGCTTCCTGTAGTGGAACACACACCAGGGAAGCCCAGGGAAGTGAGATGGTCAAAGCTGATGGGCGATGGCAAGATACAGCAGGTGGGAAAGTAGCAAAGGCAGAGGCTCAGATGTGGAGGCAGTGTGCCCGCAAGTCAACAGGAGCCTGAGATGAAGCAGGGGATAAATAAGAACAAGATGCACATCGGTCTCGAGATCAGGAGGAGAAATTCCAGCTCACAGCTACAGCGTCCCCTCAGCTCCTGACCCAGCCATTGGCTCCTACTGAGTTTAGAACACAGTGGGCAATTGCTTTCCCTCTGTACCTACAGGACTCCCTATTACCCTGGCCACACACCACCACCCTCCCCACACATGGGGAGCAACCCTCCTCCCCACCCTCTCACTCTCCCTCACACCAAGCTCACTCCCAAAATAGACCCTTTCTACCCATATTTCCTGCCCCTATTGTAAGCGCCAAGGTCACCCAGCAGCTGTCCTGCAAGTGTCCCTGTCTCCTGTCTACATTTTGACTGCTCTTCGCCAATATTCTCATTATCTAAACACTCATTTGGTTCTCCTTTATAGCTTAGATTTTTTTTTTTTTTTTTTGGTTTTTCAAGACAGGGTTTCTCTGTGGCTTTGGAGCCTGTCCTGGAACTAGCTCTTGTAGACCAGGCTGGTCTCGAACTCACAGAGATCCGCCTGTCTCTGCCTCCCGAGTGCTGGGATTAAAGGCGTGCGCCACCACTGCCCGGCTATAGCTTAGATTTTTAAATGTGGACGTGTTTACACTAGAATGTAAATCCAGCTGCTCACGTGAATTGGAATTGCAGGACGTTGTGAGCCCGACACAGTTGAACTCTGGCACCATAACCACTAAACCATCTCTCCCCAGATCCTGGTGTCTCTTTTTGTCTTTTTTTTTTTTTTCTGCTGTTTTCGAGATAGGGTCTCTCTGTGGTTTTGGAGCCTGTCCTGGAACTAGCTCTTGTAGACCAGGCTAGTCTCGAACTCACAGAGACCCACCTGCCTCTGCCTCCCAAGTGCTGGGATTAAAGGCGTACACCACTACCGCCCGGCTCTTTTTGTCTTTTTTAAAGACTTATTTATTTCCATATATGGGTGTTTTGTCTGCATGTACATCATCTGCACACCAGAAGAGGGCATTGGGTCCCATGGGACTACAGTTACAGATGGTTGAGAGTCACTATGTGGGTGCTGGGAACTGAACTCAGGACCTCTGGTAGAGCAGCCAGTGCTCTTAACCACTAAGCTACTTCTCCAGCCCCATCCTGTTGGATCTTAAAATCCATCTCAATGACAACTCTTAACATCTTCCTTGACTCCAGTATTAATAATCCTAGCTGGGCTGGAGAGATGGCTGAGAGGTTAAGAGCATTGCCTGCTCTTCCAAAGGTCCTGAGTTCAATTCCCAACAACCACATGGTGGCTCACAACCATCTGTAATGAGGTCTGGTGCCCTCTTCGGGCCTGCAGGCACACACAGACAGAATATTGTATACATAATAAATAAATAAATATTAAAAAAAATAATCCTAGCCAACACTTAGGGCTCATCTGCCATTTCCTCAGCCCATCCAGGGCTCATCTGCCTTTTCCTCAACTCAGCAGGGCTCATCTGCCTTTTCCTCTGCCCATCCAGGGCTCATCTGCCTTTTCCTCAGCCCATCCAGGGCTCATCTGCCTTTTCCTCAGCCCATCCAGGTTCCCAACCCCACTGACATCGTTGTGAAACTGAGTGAATTCCATAAAGGTGGTTTCCATGGCCACAATGGAATGCCAGGGGGCAGAAGTCAACCCTTTATTTTTTTTATTATTTATTTATTTATTTGAGGCAGGTCTCCCTATGTAGTCCTGGCTGTCCTGGAAGCTATGTGGTCCAGGCTGGTCTTGAACTCCCAGAGATCTTCCCAAGCGCTGGGATTAAAGGTGTGCACCACCATGCCTGGCCAGAGGCTAGCTCTTGCCACTAAAGTAAGACCTCTTGGAGTTGCCCACCAGGCTCCTCTCCAGTCTCACACAGAGACAAGACAGCCTGAGGAGAGCTGTATTGGAAGGAGGAGGGGTGTCCCACTGGCCCACCGGGGTCAACTCAACAAATATCACATTTCACTGCAAACTCTTAGACAACCACAGTGAACACTTTATATCTGCTTACACACATTTCCCAAAGCCATCTGGCCACAGAGGAAGAGATGGACACAGGACTGGGCAGGCCAGAGCACACGTCCACAAAGAAAAAGAGAACCTGGGTTTGGGGGAAGCCCCTGTGCTCACATATAACAGAACAGGGCCCTATGAAAAGCCCCCAAAAATGAGCGACAGAGAATGGCATGCTTCGGGAGGGGGAAGGGCTGTGGGTCCTGTGGGCCCAGGGAGGGGAGATTGCTGTTGCTTCAGTCACTACACTGAAGAGCTCTAACTCAGAAATTAAGACTGTGTTCTTACCAACAGCAATCTACAGATTCAATGCAATGCCTATCAAAATCCCAGCAAAATTCTTCACAGACCTCGAAAGAATGGTACTCAACTTCACAAGGAAAAGCAAAAAACCCAGGACAGCCACAACAATCCTGTAGAATAAAAGAACTTCTGGAGGCATCACAATCCCTGACTTCAAACTCTACTACAGAGCTACAGTACTGAAAACAGCCTGGTATTGGCATAAGAACAGACAGGAGGACCAGTGGAACCAAATAGAAGATCCAGATATCAATCCACACATCTTCGAACACCTGATCTTTGATAAAGAAGCAAAAATATATCAAATGGAAAAAAGAAAGCATATTTAACAACTGGTGCTAGCATAACTGGATATCAACATGTAGAAGAATGAAAATAGACCCATATCTATCACCATGCACAAAACTCAAGTCCAAATGGATCAAAGACCTCAACTTAAAGCCAGCCACACTGAACCTTATAGAAGAGACAGTGGGATATACACTTGAACGCATTGGCACAGGAGACCACTTCCTAAACATAACCCCAACAGCACAAACACTGAGAGAAACAATAAGGGGAACTCCTGAAACTGAAAAGCTTCTGTAAAACAAAGGACACGGTCAACAAGACAAAACGACAGCCTACAGAATGGGAAAAGATTTTTCACTAACCCCACATCAGATAGAGGTCTGATCTCCAAAATATACAAAAAACTCAAGAAATTGGACACCAAAAGAACACATAATCCAATAAAAAATTGAGTACAGACCTAAACAGAGAACTCTCAACAGAGGAATCTAAAATGGCTGAAAGACACTTAAGGAAATGTTCAACATCCTTAGTCATCAGAGAAATGCAGATCAAAACAACTCTGAGATTCCATCTTACACGGGTAAGAACGGCCAAAATCAAAAACAACTTATGACAACTTATGCTGGAGAGGTTGTGAGGAAAAGGGAACACTTCTGCATTACTGGTGGGAATGCAAGCTGGTACAACCCCTTTGGATGTCAGTGTGGCAATTTCTCAGAAAACTAGGAAACAACCTTCCTCAAGACCCAGTAAGGGGCTGGAGAGATGGCTCAGCGGGTAAGAGCATTGCCTGTTCTTCCAAAGGTCCTGAGTTCAATTCCCAGCAACCACATGATGGCTCACAACCATCTGCAATGCGATCTGATGCCCTCTTCTGGCCTGCGGCAGACACACAGACAGAATATTACATACATAATAAATAAATAAATACCCAGTACTACCACTTTGGGGTATATATCCAAAGGCTGCTCAATCGTGCAACAAGGATATGTGCTCAACTATGTTCATAGCAGCTTTGCTTGTCATTGCCAGAACCTAGAAACAACCTAAATGCCTCTCGACCAAAGAATGGATAAGGAAAACGTGATACATTTACACAATGGAGTACTACACAGCAGAAAAAAATAACAACAGCTTGAATTTTGCAGGAAAATGGATGGAGCTAGAAAACATCATTTTGAGTGAGGTAACCCAGACCCAGAAAGACAATTATCACATGTACTCACTCATAGGTGGTTTTTAAACATAAAGCAAAGAAAGCCAGCCTACAAACCACAATCCCAAAAAACTTAGACAACAACTAGGACACTAAGAGAGACTTACATAGATCTAATCTACATGGGAAGTAGAAAAAGACAAGATCTCCTGAGTAAATTGGGAGTGTGGGGACCTTGGGGGAGGGTTGAAAGGGGAGGGGAGAGCAGGGAGGGGACCAGAGAAAAATGTAGAGCTCAGTAAATATCAATTAAAAAAAAAAGAAATGCAAAAAAAAAAAAAACCCAAAAGAAATTAAGACTGGAGTCAAGTTCTTCGCAAGTTATTTCACCTTCTGGTTCAAGTTTCTTCATCTGAGAAAGGAGCTACCTTTAAGATTTTGGAGACGATTATATGAGGGTAGACACAGTGGTGCATCCCTGTACTTCCTGCTGAGGCCAAGAGGATTGTGAGTTTTGAAACAATCCTGTCTCAAAAAACAACCAAAAACCCTGCAAGTGTGAAAAAATGCCTCGCGCAGCGCTATTGACCCTTTTCCACGGAGGTGCCTTCCTGCCCCCGCCCCCATGGAATCTCCCAGTTCTTAGTCCAAGTTGTCCATTGTCTGAGATTCCAGAGTGGACATGGAGGAAAGGCCAATGTTTTCCCGACAGACCCTGACCCGACCCAGGGGCTCACATCGTCCGTAAAGATGGCCAGCTTCCCGCTTTCCAACATGTCTTCCAGTTCTTCATTGGTAGTGGTCCTGCCAGCTGTGGAGGAAAAGAACTTCCTGCTCAGGAACTAGGTCTGAGGTGGTGGGGTGAAGGGAACAGGAACCCAGGACCCACCCTTCCAGGCTCAGGCCAGGTGCTGGCTCCAGAGAGGAACCCGTGGAGGGGCCTGTCAAGTCCTGGGAGTCTGGGGATGGGGAGGGGAACACGCACTGATCTCCAGCTGCCGCTGGATGCGGTCCTTGCAGCGGTCCCGGTACTTGGACTGGGTTGCGTTATACTCGGTCATTACCTCCACGAACTTCCGCGAGAGAGTGGAGTGCTAGAGAATCGGGAAAGACACAGCAGGGTGTCATGAACAGAAGGCTGAGAAGGATGCAGCAGCAGCTTCCCACGAATTCAAAACCCCGTCTCCGTCCTTCGCTCTGCTGTCTGGCACAACCCCGCCCAGAGCCCCCCGACAGAGACCACTCCTGCCTGGGCTGGTCCCCTGCACACTGAGCTTACCTGAGTCTTGCGGATGCGCAGGTCAGCGGAGGAACGATTCAGCCCCTCTTCCTGCTCAATGCTTTGCTCGATCGCTACGGGAGAAAAGGCACAGTTACAGGCTGGAGACGGAGAAAGGGACCGGGATCTGGAGTGTAGGAAGAGGTAGGGTCCAGGCTAAGGGAAGAGACACCATGCTCCACGAAAGGAATTATGGTTGCTGGGCGATGGTTGCGCACACCTTTAATCCCAGCACTTGGGAGGCAGAGACAGGCAGATCTGTGTGAGTTTGAGGCCAACCTGGTCTACAGAGCAAGTTCCTGGACAGGCTTCAAAGCTGCAGAGAAGCCCTGTCTCAAAAACCAAAAACAAAACAAAGCAAAAACCAAAAAACCATGAAAAGGAAGAAAGAAAGAAACAGACTGTGGGGAGGTCTAGTTTTGCAGGCTGCCAAATAGACAGGCAGGAATCTGAGGGAGTTTCCTAAGGCAGGTAGGGAAAGAGACAGAGTCAAAAGGTCACCAGACAGAAGCTTTGTTTTGATGGAAGAATTTTGCCTTGGAGGGAATATAGTCTGTTCGCTAGAGGGGACACCCCCCAAAGTAGTCTCCAGTTCCTTTTACCTCTAAACAAAAAGCAAAACCCACCAGCACTTTGTGTGCGTGTGTGCTTTTAAAGGCAGGGTGTGGTTTTTACATTGTCTGAAACTTGTGGACTCATAGACACTTCTGCCTCAACTTTCTGAGTAGCTGCTCCTACAGGCAAGACCCCCACTACCTTCCGACTTTTTGGTGGCCATCCTTTCATGAGAATTCTGTAGCTTACAGGTAGATGTTCTAACAGAGAAAACATAGCTCTCCTGCCCTGCCTGTCTTGTCAGTTCCCACTTCTTTTTTGTTTTATCTTTTGTTTTTTTTTGAGACAAGGTTTCTCTAGGTAGCCCTGGCTGTCTGGAACTTGCTCTGTAGACCAGGCTGGCCTCGAACTCACAGAGATCCACCTGCCTCTGCCTCCTAAGTGCTGGGATTAAAGGTGTACGCCACCACTGCCCGGCTGAGTTTCCACTTGTAAAGGATGTTTTGTACTGCTTCTGGACCGTGGATTCCCGACTCCATTACTCAGATTTTCTGAGCAGAGCTTGCAGGAACAGCTTCTTCACATTAAGATCAGAAAGTGCAGCAGGGATGAATCACCCAGGCTGCTGAGACTCGTCACCTCTGGGCCAGTCCTGAGAATGCCATCTCTCTGTCCTCCTGGCAGTCGGGAGGAATGGAGCTAGATGGCACCTCAAGACTCTCCTGTAGGCAGAAGCAGGAACGACTGAGTGCTATTGCCGGCTGGGCCAGCTCACAGAAAGCACCAGGCATACACCACCAGGGATCCAGGGACCTACGTCCTGCTGGGCCATGTTATAAGACCTGGGGCTAGGGCCAACTCTTTGTAGAGGGGTATTTTACAATGATTCTGGGAACTGAGTGATATTGGTTGATATTTCACTCTAGAAACTGGGGTTTGAATTCCTGAGACGACTTTTCAAGGTCACCTTGTTGCCACCAACTGGAAAAAAAAATGGAAAAGATGGGAATTTCTTTTTCCTGGTCAATTTTTTTTTCATGACAGGGTTTCTCTGTAGCTTTGGAGCCTGTCCTGGAATTAGCTCTTGTAGACCAGGCTGGCCTCAAACTCAGAGATCCGCCTGCCTCTGCCTCCTGAGTGCTGGGATTAAAGGCATGCACCACCACCTCTCTGTGTCTGATCAATTTCTTAAACGATCTTCACTTTTCCTGTCTCCTATCTGGAACTATTTCTGAACCCCTGACCACAATGTTTTCCTCGTGGCCTTCTAGAACATGTTCTAGATCAGGACACAATGGGTCTGAAGAAACCATGGAGTCCTGGACCTGTGACCCTTCCACCCACCTCAGCCCACCGAGTGCTAAAATTATAGGGGCACACTATTATGCCTCTCTGCAACCTGAGTTTTATGGAGTTTGTTTTGAAAATGTCACCTTACAACTCTGGCTCTCCTGGAACTCACTATGTAGACCAGGCTGGCCTCGAACTCATAGAGATCTACCTGCCTCTGCCTCCCTGGCGCTGAGCCTAACGGTGTGCGCCACCACATCTGGCAACTTTTATGTTTTCTATTTGAGATTCTTGGTAAGACTTCATCTGGAGAAAAATATTTCGCTGTCAAAAATATAAGGAAAAACAACATTTTATAATTGCTTCAGTTTCTCCTACTATACTGACGAGCAAACTGCGGACACGGACAGGGACTGTCCGCAGTGAGTGGACCTCACAGGCTGAACTCCTCCCATGCAGATTACATGACCATGACCCCAGAGCACACCCACAAAGGGCTTATCTTTACAGGTCAGCATCAGAGGCTCCCAGAAGGCCCCCCCTTGAGTCCAAAAGGACATGAAGCTTGTTTCCTCATCACCCCAGGGAAGGCTAATGGTTTGGGGGACAGGCCCTTGATAAAGCCTGTCTAAAGTTCAGCAACGGGCCTCAGGGCTGCAGGCACTTGGTAACTGTCTTCTGCTGCTCAATGACCACGGCACGCCAGTGGCAGCTCCTTAACGCTGCTCTTCCCCTGGCATCAGCCGACGAGGAGGTTCCCAGCCCACAGTGCTTTGGGGGAAGGTGATTATTACCAGCACCCAATTCCTTAAATTAGAGTGGATGCATGAGCCTTTGGCAAGGCCCTCCTGAAAGCGTGCCAGCCCCTGATGTCAGCCACATGGTCCAATCTGTCCTGAGCCGAGGATACTAATTCAGAAGCATTTGCTGAGCCACCTACTGGGTGCTTAGTGTCGTGCTCAGAGCCTCTTCAGGACAAATGAGGACTGAACAAAATTAAAACCTTGGAGGAGGATGTTTCTTTCATCCCCCCCCCCTTCTCCCTGGATTTTTTGAAATAGGGCCCACATTCATCGGAAACTCTGACATTTCCTGCAGCAGCCTCCTGAGTGCTGGGATTATAGGTCATCACCACCGTGACTGACTGGAAATCTGCATTCCTCTGATTGATGGCTCTCAGGTGCAGTTCAGGCAGAAACCCTACCCAGCTCACTTCCCCGTCAGCTCCCTGAATAGGAATCTGGTCCCCAGAAGCCTGTGAGCACTGCTTACAGGGACCTGTTTTGTCCAGTGCGCAGCGGAGATCTTTCTCCGCAGATTCAAGCTTGCGTCACTCAGTCACTCACCTTTCAACTTGGACCGGACCTTGTTCGCGGTCTTTTTGATGTCTGCTGTGAGGTCCTCCAGCTCCTGTTTGGTTTCTGGGGGGAGGGCAAACAGGGAAGTGAGAACCTGGACGGGGCTCTGGCCCCCAAGTCCCCCTGAAGTGGCACTCACTCTCATCCGGGTTGGGGGCTGCGAGGATGGCGCTGTGCTGTTTCTTCACCTGCTCCACGTCCTCAGACAGTTTCTCGATGCAGCCTCGGATCTCTTCCACCTGGGCAGGAACTCAGTGCCACCTCACCCAAGTTGGTGGGCCAGATGAGGGAATCAGGACAACTAGCCAGTGCTCAGTGAAATGGGCCAAATCCAGAAGGCCAAGGAGTGTGCAGGAAAAGGGGTGCACAGGGCAAAGGATGTTGCTGGGGAGGGACACGGTTCTGGGCCAGGGCTACTGGGGGCTCTACCTGTTCAAAGAACTCATCCATAAAGTGGTCTCGATCCACGTGGACCACTTCCTCTTCATCATCGCTGTCTTTCGCCTGCAGAGCAGAGCAAGGCCAGACCCGTGAGCAGTCCTACCCCACTCCCCAAGGTTGATGTGCCTGCCCTCTGGTCCTCTACCTGCCTCACACACGGATGGTACCAGTTCTAGGCTCAGAGCCTAGGAAGGGTCCTAGTCAGGAGGGCTGGCAAGGACAACAGTCAGAGCCAGCACTGGGTAACTTGAAGAACAATGTCTCGGATGCCAGGGTACCTTAAAGGGAGTCAGCTAAAGGCGTTCCCTGAGATAGGAACAGCCTCAGGTGTTCGGTCTTTCTGAAAGAGAAGTTAGTTGAGGCTGTCGCTATTCACTGCTAGACACAAATGACAACATTTCAGCAACCAGCTAGTTGTCACATTTGTGGTGGTTGCCTCTGGTCTCTGATGAGGATTCTAGAATGCTTTCCTGGGCTCTGAACCCTTCCGCCATCCCTTAGCAGCGCCTGCTCGGGTCTCCCCTTTTCCTGCCCCGACCTGACCATTCATTCCCTTATGGAAGGTCACATGGCTGCCAAACTGCCAGTAGCTGGTGCCAAGTTGAGCGAGCACAGCCAGGACCAGCAAGGGCTGGCTGAGCCGGGTCGGCAGCACTCTGACCTGCTTCCTCCCACGCCTTCCTCCTCCCGCTGCACTCTGCTGCTGGAGACCCCCTCTTCCCCCACACCAGTCGCTCGCTCGCTCTCTTCCAGTCCCTTCCAGCCGCACACCCACCAGCTCTCTCTGACTTGGATTTCCCAGTTGCAACCTGCAGCTGCTCAACCCTCCACCCTCAGGGCTCAGAGACACAAAGGGATATACCCACCCACACTGCCATCTCCAGGCAGACCGGTGACACAGACAGAAGAGCTGACACACAGGCACACAGAAATAGGCTCCCAACACCCACATGGAGCCTCACTGCCGCGCTGACATCCACCGCATACAGACCCAGACAGAGCTGCTTTACTGACGTGTGGACGCACAGACCTGCAGCCACATCCCTGGGGCATGGAGGACGGTACTGCCTTTTCAGCCAACCTCTTTGAGCCCCAGGACGGCATTCTCACCCAGTTAGACAGAAGGCACAAAAGGGCTCCCTTGGGATCCCCACTCTTCCTTGCTTGGGACAGAATTCCCAAAGGCAAAGTTGAACTTAGCCATCGACAGACATTAAGTATGGAGCCCTAATCAACCCCAGGGGAAAGTTAAGGGGGTCAGCCTGACACAGGTTGAGCCAGAGTCAGAATGTAGCCAAGAGAGCCTGCCTGAGATCAAGACAGGAGCCAGGCAGCAGCTGCTTGGAAGTGGAGCCTCTGGGACCTGAAGCAGCGAACTGACCCGCCGGAGCAGATCAGACGACAGGAGAAGAAGGAACAGCATTTGGCTCAGATGCATCCGTTCAGACTGAACCTACACAGAGCCAGATGGGACCAAAATGCAACCAAGATACCAAGATCACTCGGGATCCACAGATCCTGGGCAACTCTGGGACCAGCACAACCCAGAAGACACCTTCTGTGGTAGGCCAGAAAGTCACGTGATTCTGCCCAGGTCTTGCTCTATTCAAACTTGAGGGTCTCAAAGGCCCTTCTGAGACTTGTGGCTTTTCCAGTCTCTCTCTGCCCCAGGACTGCCCCTGGCAGATGCTGGCCCTGCAGGCCTCTGAGAGAAGGACTCATCTTTAGGATGCACTAGTTTCTTATGGAACTTTCCAGCTTCCCAGCCTCCAGGGTCACAGACTGCTGCTGACCTTCCCATCCTCCACCCGCCCACCCTCCACCAGCTTCATGCAGGTCTAGGTACCTGGGAACCTTCCTCTTCTCTGACTATTTCCCTTCCTGTGCCAACTTGAAGTCCTTCTTAGAGTCTGATTTCAGTTTCTCCTGCTGTTTTCAGCACCTCTTTCCTTAGACTCTTTCTAGAGTATCTAAGTTACCTCCCTACTTGCCCTTGAGAAGGACCTGAGTATTGGTTGGGCTAATAATTACAGAGAGCTAAAATCCCTCTGGGTGTCCAAACATGTTCACAATCATAATCCCCTTTGATCCTCACCACCACAGCCCAGTGAGATCAGTTAAACAAATACTGTTCCTATTTCATCGATGAAGGAGCACGGGGCCAGGGTGGGCAAAAGGCAGTGATTTGCCCAAGGCCGAGTAGGACCAGGACACCATGATCCAGGAACACGGCCTGCTTCCCCAAGCCTCTCGTGAACTGCTCCCCCAGGCCACTGTTTGCCATTGGTTCCTTTCCCTCCCAGGCCAGCTCCTGCTGCACCCCGGCAACCCCACCACAGGGCCATCTGCCACTGCCTCTCACATTCTCCTCATCTCGTCTGACCTTCTTCAAAACTCTGTAAGAGGGGCTGGAACCACGGCTCAGCTGTTGAAAGTGTGTGTTGGTCTTGCAGAGGACCCAAGTTTGGATCTCAGCATCCATGTTGGGTAGTTCACAAAACCACCTGTATATAACTCCACTCCAGGGATCTGATGCCCTCTTCTGGTCTCTGCAGGCTCCTTCACTCAGCACTCACGAGTGCAGGCAAACACACACAGACACAATATTTTTAGAGTCTGGTGTGGTGATGCAGTAGTTCAAGGCTGGCCTGGTCTACAGCACGTGAGTTCCGGGACAGCCAAGGCTAGTAGAGAAACCTTGTCTCAAAAACAACAACAAAAATAAATAAAATCTACTTTAAAAATCTTGAAAACAAAACAAGACCAGGGTCTGGGGAGATGGCTCGGTGGTGAAGAGCTGGCTGCCCTTCCATAGGCTCCAGGCTCCAAGCCAGCACCCATGAGGCAGCTCAGAAGCCTCAGGAACAACAACCCCAGAGAGTCCAGACATTCTCTTCTGGCCTCTGGGGGCACCAGGCACGCTGTGGTGAAGGTGCAGACAAAACACTCACACATAGTAGATAAATAAACAACTCTGTGAGGTGACAGATACGGTGGTAAACACCTACAATCCAGCATGGAAAGCCGAGGCAGGAGGATTGCCATGAGTTTGAAGCAAGTGAGTTCTAGCTCAGCCTGGCTACAGAATAAGATCCTGTCTCAAGAACAGACATTTACCTGGCATGGTCACACTTTTAATTACGTAGAGGGAGGTGAATCTCTGTAAATTCAAGGCCAGGCTGGTCTGCACAGCTAGCCCCAAGCCAGACAGGACTATGTAGTGAGACCCTATCTAAAACAAACAAACATATAACACACTCTGTCTGTAATGACACACAATGACACTACTGCAGCTCTGACACACATCCAAGCAGAGCTTTACAGAGTTCCGGGTGCGTGTCTGTATATCCTGCACACGCTTGTCCATTTAATTCAGTATGGATCTGGGGGATGGGGGGAACTCACGGCCTCGCGCATGCTGAGCAACACTCTGTTGCTGAGTGACCATTCCAGCTGTTGGTTTTCTGAGACAGTCTTTTTGTTTTGTTTTGTTTTTCGAGACAGGGTTTCTCTGTAGCTTTGGGGCCTGTCCTGGAACTAGCTCTTGTAGACAGGCTGGCCTCGAACTCACAGAGATCTGCCTGTCTCTATCTCCCGAGTGCTGGGATTAAATAAAGGCGTGAGCCACCACCACCACCTGGTATTTTCTGAGACAGTCTTATGTAGCTCAGAGTAGCCTCTAACCTGGAATCCTCCTGTGTCTGCTCCCCGAGTGCTGGGTTACAAACTGCATCAACACCGTCCTTACTCATTTAATTCTTTTTCTTTTTTGGTTTTTCGAGACAAGGTTTCTCTATAGCTTTGGAGCCTGTCCTGGAACTCACTCTGTAGACTAGGCTTGCCTCAAACTCACAGAGATCTGCCTGCCTCTGACTCCCGAATGCTGGGATTAAAGGCGTGCGCCACCACCGCCTGGCTCGTTTAATTCTTACAATAGTCTCCTGAGACAGATTTATCACTGCCCTCTTTTACAAGTGGGAAAACTTTAGGCAGAGAGGCCAATGAACAGCACCGGTTCTGCAGCCACACTGGCATGCGAGCTTCCGCCTTCTGGGCCTCGTACCTTCCTTTGTCAGATGGCAGTCTCCTCCCACGGAGGGCAGGGGAAGCAACGAGACAGGCAGGGAGATGCCTGATGCTGCAAGTGGGGAGTGTTTGGTGAGGGTGGACTGAGCCTACTGTGTGGCAGATGAGGAGACAATTCAGACAGGTGGCTCTATTGCCTGAGGCTTCATAGTAAACAAGATTGGAGGTGGAGCTGGAAAGGGGACCCATCGGATCTCAAGGCTTTTTCCATCCATCCCACGGACAGGTGGCAGTCCCTCTATTTCTACCTGGCTACAAAGAGAGCTGTTGGACTCGCTCTCTTTCCCTCTATTTCTCTGTCCCTCCGCCCACTTCTTTCCAGGGTCTCACTATGTGGCCCAGAGTAGCCTCAAACTTGCAGCAATCCTCCTGCCTCAGCCTCTCAAGTGTTGGGATTACAGGAGCAAACCCGTGTCCAGCAGTTCCTCACATTTAATCTCACAATTGCGCTACAAAGTAGACATTCTTATTCCCATTTTACAGATAAAGAAACTGAGGCACAGGAAGATTACATAACTTGCCCGAAGGTGATCAGCCAATCAGGTGTTGGTGGGTGGCAGGGCATTGCTTGTCAGTGTCCACCAATTGCTGAGCACCTGGGAGGATTCAGGAGATTAGGAAGAGCTCCTGTCACCTTCCGAAGCCTCCTTGGCTGTGTGGGGCATTTGATCCAATCCCCTAGCTTCCATCTGGCTCTTTAAAGTCAAAGGTGTTCACATCAGTAATGAGAGCATTCTGGTGTGTGTATGTGTGTGTTCACACGTGTGCGCACATGTGTGTGTGCATGTGTGTGGTTTTGGAGATTGAGCTGAGGGGACTCACATGTTCACACACACCACCATGTACTCCCTACCCAGGCTCTTCAAGGTGCAAGCCCTACGTCAACAGACCCCTCCGGCACCCTCACGATTCTGCCCATCTGCTTCCTTGGCTTGGGCCTCTCCTCCCCCACCTTCCCCGGTCCAGCCTGACTCTTCGATCCTTCTTTTCCTCTTATCAGGCTACCGAGCCCACCTGCTCCCTTCCTGATCCTCCTGCGTCCCCAAGTCACTCATTCAACTAACAAATATATATGATTGGCACTAGGGGTAAAGAAGCCTGGGCCTGGGAAGGAAGGGCTTGTCTCCAAGCAGCTGCAGGTGCGTGTTGGGGGGGGGGGACACCGGCAAACAGCGACAAATGAGTAAGATAGTGCCTAAGTGTGAAATAGCAGACGGAAATATACAGTGTGTGTGTGTATATATGCGCACAAGTGTCTGCGTGTATGTGCATATGTGTGTATGTGTGCATATGTGTGTGCATGCATGTGGTACGTGTGTGCATGCATGTGTGTGCACATATGTGTTGTGTGTGCATATGTGTGCACGCACACGTGTGTGCGTGCATGTGTGTGCATATATGTGTGTATTGTGTGTGCATATATGTGTATTGTGTGTGCGTGTATGCATGTGTGTGTGTGTATGTGTGATGGAAACATGCATGTGGCACTTTATTTAGGTGGCCAGGGAGGGTCTTTCCGGGGAGGTGACATTTGAGTTGAGTCCAATCGTGCTGCCATGCAGGAGAAATTGGACTTAAGGCAATGGGAACAATATTCACGGGCAAAAGAAACAAGCACAAAGAACGCAAGGCAGAGAAAAGTCCCGGGCAAGGGGAGGGAATGAATCTGTTAGCCTCCTCCTGCTCTTACAAGCTTCCCCACCCTCTTTCCTCCCCCTGCCCTCCCACCCCAAGCTGGCACATGTCCTTCTCTTTTCTCTCACTCTGTCTCGGCTGGCTTCCTCCTTGGACCCGGGACACCTACTCAACTGAGGCCTCCCCACTGCAAGGAGCTATGTCCAGCCTAGTACCTCCCAGTGCCCAACCCAAAGTGTTGGGCAACCTGAGACAGAAAGCCCTGGTTCAACACCAGCTCCACCAGCTGTGGCACCTCTGGCAAGTCTGTCTTTTTTTCCGTAGCCCTCGGGCAATTCCAGAATCACTTAGGTGTCATCCACGTGGGTTTACGTGATGCTCCAGAGAAACTGGAAAGTCACCTGGGAATAGCAACCACACAGCGCTGCTGTGCAGCAGGCCGTCTTAGGCACCTGGATTAATTAACTTTCAATTCTCCAAATAATCCTGTGAAACCAGGTAGTACCATTATACTCAAATTACGCAGGAAGAGACTGAGGCTGGGATGGAGCTCAATGACAGAGTACCTGCCTCACGGTGTATTCAATACCTCAGTCCAATCCCAGCACCACACACACACACACACACACACACACACACACACACACACCAGAGAGAGACATACACAGAAACATACAGAGACACAGATGCACACACACAGATATACACAGACACAGATGCACACACACAGTTCAGGATACAAACAAAAACCTACCCACCACCAGCAAACCACCCTGAGTACCAGACAGGTCAATAACTTGCCCAAGGTCACACATGAAGGAACTAAGCCAGGACGTAAGCCCAGACAATCTCACTTCCAAGTCTGGGTCCTTACCCTCTGTAGGATAAACAGATTTTGAAAACTCCTCAGAAGACTACAGAGCTCTGGCAAGACAACCAGGCCCTGCATTCACCACATCCTCCCGGCCTAGGCCTGCGGAGTCTCCCCTGCCTTCTCAGAGCTTGGCTTTCAACTCTGGCAGAGGCTCCTACACTCCAGACATCTGGAGCTCCTACCTACCCCACCCCACCCGCACCCTCCCAAACCTCCACTTTGCCTAAGCTGTGACTAACAGCAAAACCATCAGTGTTCGCCCAGCCCCCTCAGCCCCTGCCACCTGGTCCCCGCTCCCAGCGCTGGCCACAGGTTTCCTCACCTCTGGGCAGGGAGCCCTGACTCAGAGGAGTGCTCCCCATTCTCGTCTCCCTCTCCCTCCAATTTTACCACAGTTGTACCCCCACTTTATTACATTTCTCTAGGTTCAGGAATCATGGCATGGTCTTGGCGGCTAGGGATCTGAGTTTGAATTCTGTTTTCTCCCTTGCTTAGCTGTGAAGCCTGGGGAAATTCTTTAAACCCTCTGGGCTTTCATTTTCCCAAATATTAGACATAGCAGACTCTCTGTCTACCTTACCAGGAAGTTGGTTGGGATTTGATGGGATTGCCATGACAACCTGCTTTGCAAACTACACCTGGACTACTACTTTAGTGGCTACTAAGGCTGTTGGTCTGGGTTTGAATCCTGCCCTTTTTCTAGCTATGTAACTTTGGCCAAGTTCCTTAACGTCTCTGAGCCTCTGCTCCCTTTTCTGTGAGATGAGATCATGCTAACAACCAGACTCACATAGTATTGCCAGTAATCAGAGGTGATTTCCTATAAAACACGTAGACTAGAGTTGCCATTGCTACTACCATCTTCCTCATCTCTCCTCCCTCTACTGTCGGCTCCTCCTGCCTCCACAAGCAGTTTCCTGCCTCTGTGTTCTTTCCCTGTACCCCCTGTAAACTGGGGTCCCCCAGTTTAGAGGCTTCCTGACAACAGAGCTTTGTCTCCACTCTCCAACTTGAATCGCAGAAGCCGAGAGGTCATGTCAGTCTGGCAGCCTGGAGGCCCCTGGGCCATTTGACCTGCACCACACACAACACTTTCTTGATGACCTTGGGGCAATCCCTTCCCATCCCTGAATCTCTGTCAGATGGAGTAACAGTCCCTTGGAATTCTGGCATAACCCACTCCATCAGGACACAGGGGCCAGTGGCCACCATCACACAGCAGACTGACACCTCAGCCTCCTCGGGCCCATGTCATTCTCCAAATGTTTCCGAACCCTCCCTGCCCCGAAATCATTTTCATGGGGCCATTGCAGTCCCTCCAAAGAACAGCCTCCCCTGCAAGCTCCTGACCTATCCTCCCCCAGCCCTCCAGGCCTCCTGGAGCTTAGGCCCTGGTCGCCAGCAGCCTGCCCCTGGCTGCTCCCATGCCCCAGTTCCCCCGAACACTATGTGGTCTATGTCACACAACCCAATTTGGTGACCTGGTGGGTGGATCTGCCTCTCCTCTCCCACCTTTGGGGTCACCTCAGCTGAGGCTCTGGCCCAGGGGAACTCAGTTCCCCCCTACACTCCCCCCCCCCGTAAGTAGTGCCCTCTCCCCACAGAGCAACACACTAGTGCGCTTGCGTGCACACACACATCACCAACACCACGACACACTTCATTCACTGCTAGGTGCTGGCATCTAGTCTCAACCTGTGTCCTCCATAGCACCCCAAATCTGGGTCCTACTGGACCCGGCCTGGCCAGTAACCACCTCCATCCGTCCAATTTGACAAACCAGCTCCGGGGAGGATGGTGTCCCCTCAGTCTGCTCTTGACATTCGCTCTCTTCCATCCCCGGGTTAGACCCAGGGCCCTTCTGGGCATATGGGCTGCCCAAGCCCCTGAGACCTCTCCTGCCCCCTTGTGTCTCAATGGCCTTCAACTCCTTCCAGCCACTGTCCTCCAATTGCAGGGTAACTGGATATCAGGTGCCAGGAGATGCTCGGGTTCCTGGCTTCTAACCTCTAGTCTTATCATTTGCCCCCCATGTCACAGGATCTCCCCCACTTCATTCCAACGCGCTCCCCAAATACAGGGTCCCGCCTCCCCACCTCTCCCACCCCCTAGCTCACACTCCGCAGCTCCTGAGTCCGATCCTTCATCCTGCGACGGGCTCCTCCTCCCCTTCTTCGTCCTCCCGCCTCCGCTGCTTCTCTCTGCCTCCTGCCTCTTTGCTGGAGGCCGGGGGTCTGGGGGCACCGGACTAGACCTCCGAGGGATGTGCGGATAAGGTGCGCGGCGTGAGGGGTGAGGGCGGGAGCTGAGGCCAGGCAGAGACAGGGGCCTGGGCCGACTGGGCTCTGCCTGGGCTGCGGTGGCGATGCGGCTGCGGCACAGGGTTGGATGGAGGGATGCGGGAGCCGAGGCGCGGGGGAGGGGGGCGGAGGGAGGTGAGGAGGAAGGGAGGGAGGGGGAGCAGGAGGGGGCGGGGAGCAGGGGGCATGCGCAGCGCCCCGGGCTGGGGGCGCCTGGGGGTTGTAGTCCAGGGAGGGGCACCCACGGGAGGGGCACAGGGGAAGCCTAGAAGTCGGGGGGGGGGGGCAGAGCCCAAGAAGCAGGGAGAGATGCAGAGGCAGGGACAAGGATGCTGGGTGAAAGGCGGTTGGGGTGGACCAGCAGAAAGAAGGGCTAAGGCAGTGAATTGAGGGAATAACCTAGGAGAGGTAGAGTGTATGCATGGGTGTCTCCGTGAGCCTACACAGGACCACTTTTATCCCGTCCCTTCGGCTCTGCAGGAGGCTCTTTGGACCAGAAATAACAAACCTGACCCTGTATGTGGCTATTGCTTGCTGAAAAGAACGCGGGGCTTCTTCTATACATCCTTCGTCATCCTACCTGGGAATGCCCTGGTGCCTGTGGGTTGCAGCTTGTCTACCCACGAGAACAGGGTGGTCACTACCTGCTGAGACCTCCTGGTCTGGCATTTTGGATGACTCTGTTTAAAATGGCATTTATCCTACCCTATCAAGAATTTCAGTGGCATATGCTTGCCTAGCATGCCTGCAAGGCCCTGGGTTCCATCCCCCAACACCAGGGTTGTGAAGGAAGACCTCTGCTGAATCTTGAAATCTTGAATCTAGTGCTGCAGAAGGTCCAGTGAGCCCTTTACCCCCACTCTGCCCCCTCCATCTCATCACTTAAAAACACACCCAGTCTTCCTTTCTTCTGTAGTGGGCTTTGGACCCCCAATGGGGTGACTTGGACCTTGTTTTTGCCAAATACCTGGTGACTACCCTGAGACACCATTTCTCTGTGTCCAGGCAGGGCTTAACATCTATGACCTTCAACAGTTCTGAAACCCAGTGGCCTTCTTGTAACCCCCGCCCCCCTGCTGGTGTCCTTGCCTCCCTGCTGTTCCACCACTGCAACCTCCTTGTGCCAGGACCCTCTTCTGCACCGTGACCCTCAGCCAAGGCTCCTGGGTGCCAGGCTAGGCTCTCACCTTCCTTTTGAATCCTTGGACTTTATGTAGACATGTGTGTGCAGGTGTGCTCACGTGCACACCTGTGCACACATGCAGGGCAGAGGTCAGTGTCGGGTGGCTTCTGATTCTCTCCACCTTATGTTTTGTTTTTGAGGCAGGCTCGTGCACTGGCTGGCAGTTTACCATTTTAGCTATTCTTTTGACCAGGAGCCCCTGGAGCCTTTATGTTTCTGTCCCCCTGGGGCTTACAGGGCTACAGATGTGTGCTGTCATGCTCAGCTTTCCTGTGATGCTGGGGCTCCGCACTCAGGGACACATCGTGCACGGAGCCCAGGTTCTCCCTGTGCTCTACCACACCTTTCTGTACCTTCATCCTGTGATTCCCACCTGTACCTGTGAACCAGCTCCTCAGAGGAAGCCTACTGGAGCCCGGGGCCAAGAGGACAGAGACAAAACATACAGTCACCTGTGGAGAGCGAGGCCTGCACTGTGGTGAGGGGACCCCAAACACAAGGTCGGCCTTGGCAGCTAGAACTGCGTCTTCCCGTTTGCCATCAAAGGCGATATCGCTGTCTACCCAGCCACTCACTGGAGGCAGACTCTGTCCTGACGCCCTCCCCACCACAGTGTTACTGTTAAGAGTGTCCACCACGACCCACTCGCTGGATGACAACTCAACGTCCTAGTCACTCGTGCTCTCCCGAGTGTGTGGGTCAGCAGGCTGGGGCTTCAGAGGACTCAGTACAGTGTCCAGTGTTCCAAAGCAGAGCTCTTTTTGCCAGTGTCTCTCTCCTAACACTGGACCCCAAAGTTGGCTTGTCACATACTGGGTAAATGCTCTACAATGAGCTACTCTCAGCCCTGGTTTGCCACGTCCTAATTTCCTCCTGTCCCCACCACCTCAGGTCAGTCTGGGCTCTCATCACCTTCCTTTCACCTGCATCACCAGGGGCGCTGCCTCAGTGGTCCTCCCTCTGGAAGGCCCTTTCCTTTATGTCCCTCTCCCTGAATTCTGGTATGATCGTCACCAAGCTGTCTGGATATGCTAATGATACCTGTCATACCACCACCTCCCACGGTTTCCAGGATTGCACTCAGAAGCTAATCTAAGACCTGGTGTGGTGGCACGTGCCTGTGATTCTAGCACTCAGGAGGCAGAGACAGGCAGATGTCAAGCTGGAAGCCAGTCTGTGTATATAGTGGGACTTTGATTGAAGACAACAAATGGGCCATAGAGAGAGTTCAGCAGTTAAGGGCACTGCTTGTTCATATGGAGGACAAGCTTCGGAGCTCAGCGTCCCCCGTGGCTTTGATGTCTGCCTGTATCTCCTGTCCCAGTGGATATGATGCCCTCTTCTGGCCCCCACAGGCACTGTACCCAGGTGGTGCATTTACACACACACACACACACACACACACACGCAAAACAATCACACAAATACAAATCATTAGGAGCTGAAAAGATGAATCTACAGTTGCTGCTCTTGACGAGGGCCCAGGTTCAGTTCCAAGTACCCATGTGGCACTCACGACCATCTTGTGACTCTGGTCCCAGAGGGGTTGATGCCCTCTTCTGGCCTCCCTCGTGCACCAGGTACAAATGTGGTACATATACATACATATATGCAGGCAAAATACTCGTTATATAAACTAAAAAGAGGCTCTGACACAAACAGCCTACTGTGTCATTAGTTGCGCAACCATCGCCTCGTTTTCCCATCACCTCCCTTCATGCCAAGAAATCATAGCCTCCACACGTCTCTGAGCAAGAGGCTGTGTGTTGGCCTCCAACTCACTGAGATTTGCCTGCCTGCCTCTGCCTCCTGAGTGCTGTGATTAAAGGTGTCATCACTGCCTGGCCAGCAATTTTATAAAGGGGAATATTTAATTGGGGCTGGCTTACAGTTCAGAGGTTTAGTCCATTATCGTCATGGTGGGAAACATGACAGCAGGCAGGCAGACATGGTGCTGGAGAGGGAGCTGAGAGTTCTACATCTTGATCAGCAGGCAGCAGGAGACTGCCCCACACTGGCCTGCCCCAACAGTGACACACTTCCTCCAACAAGGCCATACCTCCAAAGAGTGCCACTCCCTACGGACCAAGTATTCAACACGAGTCCATGAGGGCCATACCTATCCAAACCACCACAGCGTGTGAGGCCCAGTTCCCACCCCACCAGAATAGCACAGGCCTAACTGCTGTCTATGTTTCCCCAAGAACAGACGCAGGCCAAGCAGAGTGACACTCACCAGCAATCTGAATAAGGGCATGTTGACTCACACCTTTACCTACGCACAAGGAAAATAAGCCCAACAAAGTTGGTAGATTTTGTCTACTGGGCCCACTGCTAATTTCCCTGGGGTTTTGTGGGTCCTTGAACACTGTGAGCTCACAGCATCTGCTAAGGCAATGGTGACTAGAGAGGAGGGACACTGGCACACACCGGCTACGACAACTGTAATTCCTGTCACTGTCCAGCAGGTTATTTATTTATGTGGTGCTGGTGACTGAACCTGGACCTTGGGTATGATAGACAGCCCATCTAGCATTGAGCTACATTTTCAATCCTTATTTTTAAATTATTATCATCATATTATTATTTGAGACAAGCTCTTGCCTTGGCTGGCCTGGAACTCGATATGTAGACCAGGCTGGTCTCGAGCTCACAAAGATCCACTTGTCCAGAAGCATGTACCACCATACCTGGCCCAGATTTATCATTATTTTTAATATGTGTATATATGTGTGTGTTTGTGCATGGGTTCACGCATGTGCATGCATGTGTCTATGGAGGCCGTAGGTGTTGGTTCCTCTAGAGCTGCATTTAGAGGCAGTTGTGAGCTGCCCAGCATGGGTGCTGGAACCAAACTCAGAGCCTCTGCAAGTGCAGTATGCTCTCCTAACTGCTAAGCTGCCTCTCCAGCCCCTTCCTTAAATTTTTTAAAATAATATTTATTTGACATGTGTTTCTGTCACATGTATGTGTGTGCACTACGTGTGTGCCTGGTGCCCACGGAGGTCAGCAGATAACATCAGATCCTTTGGAACTGAAGTTATGGAGGGTTCTAGTCACCATACGGGAACTGGAAACTGAACCTGAGTCTTCTGCAAGAGCAGCCAATGCTCTTACCTGCTGAGCTATCTATCCTTTTAATTTTAATTATTTTTAAAGATTTATTTATTTATTATGTATACAGTGTTCTGCCTGTGTGCACACCTGCACCCCAGAAGAGGGCACCAGATCTCATTAAAGATAGTTGTGAGCCACCATGTGGTTGCTGGGAATTGAACTCAGGACTTCTGGAAGAACAGTCAGTGTTCTTAACTGCTGAGCCATCTCTCCAGCCCTCAATTTTAATTTTTTATTTTGCGATAGAGCACTGCTAATTTCTCAGGTTGACTGTTTATATTTCTGCTGCATTTCAAGGTGTGTGCCAGGGCCAGCAAAGTGGCTCAGGTGGAGGCGCTTGCTGCCCTCTCAGATCTCAGAACCCATGGCGAAGGTCAGAGTCCACTCTTGCAGGTCGCCCTCAAACCGCTACTCACCGCACCCTCATACATACAATAATTTGTTCCTTAAAGGTGTCTGCCACCACGCTCAGATTGTTCATCGGCCTTCTGCTGCTTTTTGTTCCATTTGCTTAGGTTACTCGGGATTGATGCATACCCTTGAACAGGCCAGCCAAGCACAGCCTCACCTTGCTAGATCTTTAGTGGCTTCCACTCATCACATCCAGGATCACCTGAAATCTACCGAACAAACCTGGGAGGAGAGTCTGCATCATGCACCAGTTCCTTTTGCAGTCTCTCTACCTGAGTGACCTTACTGGAGCCTCAGTACAACCAGGCAGCCCCTGCTCAGAAATGTCCCTGCTCCCTGTCACTCACATTGGCATATGCTGTCATTTCTTGAGCACCCTGACTCCTGTCTCAAGCCATTCCCCACACTT